AATCAATCAAGCTACTGGTGAAAATGAAAAATGTGTCTTAATTTACAGAAAAAAACCCACACAGACCCAACCCAACACTTCCTCGATTGGGTTTTTGGCCAACCCAACACTTCCTCGATTCGGCGTTCTCAGGAACGACAGTGGGGATGACCTGGAGGTGGGGCGGAGAAGCACGTGGAAGATAAAGGGGGAAAGTTTACGTTTTCCCAAAATTTCCAAAGAGTCTCTTCAGGTTGTTATGGAGGAAACTGGCCCAAAGAATCTATATTTGGCCGTAAGAGTAACAATGAGTAAAGCCACGAGTGTGGGTTATTATTTATCAAATCACAAGAACATCTAGTTTCTTACAAGGGCACCAGGAGGCTGAGAACCCACTGCTACCGCACGGGGAAGGGGCTCCAATGAAGTGCTTCCTCACCTTCCCCCAGGGGTGGGGACCAGAAGCGGGCAGTAAGGAGACTGATCATGTGATGTGCTGCCTGCATGGGCCCCAGACCCTCTGCCTCCCAGCCTGGAACCCCCAAAACCCCTCCCGGCCAGGCCCCAGCAGCACCAGTCTCAAGGGAAGGAAAGTGTCCTCAAGCGGACGAAGACAGCCAGCCCTCTTACCCCTCTGAAGCCTCCTCGCCCACCCGAGAGCCTTCACAGGAGAAGCCTGGCCAGCAGAGGCGTTCTCATTGCAGTTGTGCCCGAGTTACAGGTCGGGGGGCCTGTCCCCCTTCTGGGGCTGAGTCCTCAGCACGCTCGTGACATCTGGGGCTCAAGGGTTCCTTTCCTGGGCCATGGCGCGTTGGCAAGGGGGGTTGCCTTTGGTTCCCTGGTGATGCTGTGGGCACCGTGGCAACGTCAGGGAAGGTTCCGAGTATTTCCTGTTCCAGGCCTGCTTTCAGCATGGCTGGGGCTGGGGGCTGGGGGCTGGGGCTGGGGCTGGGGCTGGGGCTGGGGGCCGGGGGCCGGGGGCCGGGGGCTGGGGGCTGGGGGCTGGGGCTGGGGCTGGGGGCTGGGGCTGGGGTTGGGGGCTGGGGGCTGGGCGGCTGGGGCTGGGGCTGGGGCTGGAGGCCTGGGGCTGGGGGCTGGGCGGCTGGGGGCTGGGCGGCTGGGGGCTGGGGGCTGGGGCTGGAGGCAGGGGGCTGGGGCTGGAGGCAGGGGGCTGGAGGCCGGGCCGGGTGGCAGAGACAACCACTGGGGCGCCAGGCACTGCCTCCTCAGCCTCTGTTCTTAGGGGAGTGGCATCACCCCTGTTTCCTGCTGTGACAAGTGCCCTTATAGCATTGGGGTGACAAGGAAGATTCTGGAAAATGGCCACAGTGAGAAGCGGCCCCCTGATCCTCAGGTCTCCTCCCTGACATGAGAAGACTGAACTAGAACAGCGATTTTCAACCTTTTTCATCTCATAACACACACAATTACTCACATTCTGCGGCACAGCAAAAAGTAGATGGTATCTTTTGCTGATCTGACCGTCTAAGGGAAAAGCGGTCAGTCAGGGGTTGTGTGTTTTGAAAATTCTCTTGGCGCGCCGGTTGAAAATCGCCGGAGTGAGAGGTCCTCGGGCCCCTCCCAGCTTCCGTGTTCTGGGAGCTGGATTTCCACCTCTGGTGTCCAGCAATGGCTTGACGAAAACATTTCCATAAAAACCGGAGAGTTTTACACTATCCAGAGCGATGCCTGCTGATTGTGTTGATAGGCGGTTCTTAATCCACTGTCTCCAGGAACTAGGAACAGCCTCAGAGGCAGGGACAAGACCGAGAGCCTTCCCTCCACGGACGCAGGGTAGAATCTGCAGCGTCCCCAGCAGCTGGGTCTGCAAAGCCAGGACCCTGGACTTGGGGGAGGCGAGGGGGCCGCGCCTATTACACCTGAGGAACTTGGTCCAGGGCCCCCCCCCCCCAAGGCTCACCCCGGTCCCAGCCACAGTAACGGAGCCTGGGGTCAGCGCAGCTCCCTCCAGGCCCCTTCACACTCGGCCTCTCCCATGGGTCATACAGTGAAACGCTGCTCCGCCCACCTGCAGTCGCCTCCTGGATACGGAAACCCTCTATCACTGGGAGGCCCCCCGGCCCCTCAGATCTGGGGTTCTACTCTCCTGACACCTGCGTTCTGCTTCGAGACTAGGTGGTGGCCGTGAGCCGTCCCCCAGGGGCCTGGCCACCAAACCCGGCCCTTAGGTTCAACACACGGCTCTGGACGAGGACAACTGGGTGTGCCCGTCCCTCCCCAGGATGAGCGCTGCATGTGTGTGAGGGTGCACAATGCCCACGTGCTCACACTTGCTCATGTGTGTGTTTCTGTGTGGGTCACGGTCACATCCCAGCAGACGTTTTTGTACAAATGGACAGACTCACTCCCTTTTTGTTGCTTTCTCCCTTCCACCCCAACTTTCCCAGCTACCTGCCCTGGAATGCAGGGCCCCATGTAAGATTTCAATGCAAGGGTTTGAAATACATTGTCCTGGACCCGCATGTCCCATGGGCCAGCTGGGATCCCTCAGGTACTTACTCCGGAGGCGCAGCTCCGAGCAGGCCTTGGGCGCTCTCTAGTGGCCATTCTAGGGAAGTGCCCAGAGTGCCAGGCTCCCTGTGGTTCCTAAGCAGGACCCCTGCCCCGCCTTGGCCGGGTCTGTCACTTCCTACAGGACCTGAGCTCAGGGACCTAGGACATTCAGCCAACCCAAAGCCTTAACTGAACACCCCCCCCCCCCCATGGAGTTTCGGGTGCTGAGCTATTAGCCAAAGTCAAAGACAACAAGTACAGGTGAACGGAAATGGCCCCAGCACTTTCCCTCAAAGCCCTTTCCTGGCGGTGTCTTACGTGCAGGAAGGTGCTGTTACCCAGGACCACAGACAGGTCAGAAGTCCCGGGAGCAAAGGCCTTTGGGGGCTGAGACACCGAACCGCATGGGCACAGCTCTGAGCTAGAACAACCCCCTTGTACCAGAGTCCCCTGTGCCATGGTTACAGGGGGGTTTCAGTGGTACATCCACCTTCTTGAATGCTCCAGGGATGAGGAGCTCACTGCCTTACCCGACTGCCCAGTCCAGCCCCCACTCTGACAGGTCACACATTGGAGAGGCAGTGGGGTACCCTAGAAAGACACCCGACCTTGACTCTGGTTCTGGCACAGACTAGCTCTGGGACCCCGGACACAGCCTAACCTCCCTGGTCTTGCGCTTCGGACCCTCCCCGGACCTTTGCTCCCCTGGCATGTCACCAGTCATGCAGAGGACCCCCTTAGAGGAGGAACGAGGGGGCCGGAGAGGAGCTTCACAGACTCGCACACAAGCCCTGGCACGGCCACTCCCTTGAGAATTAAACCCTAGAAATGACATGTAGGGTTTGCTCCTTGTGTTTCAGCTCCCAGCCCCGGAAAGCAGCGAAACACCATGGCCGACATCAGGACCGGCTGTAGCAACTAATGACCCCCTGCCCAGTGCCAACCACTCAGCAGAGGCCATGACCCTGAAAGGATACACTTGGAATGCTGATGAAGACGCCTTTTCCCTTTATGCTTACTGTTGACACTAGTACAGGTGACCCATTTTTCCACCCCTCCACCCCCAACCCTCCAGCCGTCAGTCACCACGCTGCTGTCTGCATCTCTGAGTTATGCTCATTGTGTTCTTTTATTGAGATCCTCCCCTGAGACCTCCAGATAAAAGCCCTCAAGGCAGAGGACTCACCTGCGCCCTGCCCCAGACCCCAGGAAGGGGGCGACGAAGGGGTGTGGCCCCAAGGAGCACGTGGGTGAGGAGCTGGACCCTGGGCAGGCAAACGGGGCGGCTGCACTAAGCAGAGGGTGCTGGAGGGGGGGGGGCAAGGGAGGCTCGGGGTCCTGGAGACCTGAGGGTGACGGTGGCTCTAGCGCCTGGGCTTCTCTGCCAGATGGAGCCCAGGAGAACAGGCTGGACAGCACGGTTGTGTCTTTCTCCCCTGTGCTGCCTGGGGACGGCCAAGGCCACGCGCCTTCTGAGTTACAGAACAGACCCTCCTGCCCCTCAGGGGTGGGGGTGGCCCTACACAGGGACAGCCCACAGCCACGTGCCTGAACAGGAGGACGGGCACTGGAGCCGAGGGCCATCGGGGTCCCTGGTCCACTTTTCAAGCTTATACCCCACACGTCCCCCCAGAAAGGTGCATCCACAGCCAAAAGGCCTATGAACATGTGACCTTACCTGGAAAGAGAGTACATCTTTGCAGGTGTAATCGAGGATACGGAGATTAGTCCACCCTGGATTTGGGGTGGCGTCCTTGGGAGATAAAGGAGAGCCACGTGAGGCCGAGAGGACAGAGGCAGAGACTGGAGGGATGCAGCCAGAGCCAAGGCATGCCAGAGACTGCCACCAGGAGCTGGGGCTGAGGCACGGTGCAGTCCCTCCCTCGGAGCCTTTGGAGGGGGCGAGCCCCACGGACACTTTGATCTTGGGACTTCCAGCCTCCAGAAGTGGGAGAGGATCAGTTTGTTGATTGAAGCCTGTCAATTCCGGGCCATTTGTTACCACAGTCCTGGGAAATGAAGGCACTTTCCCACCCCAACACCTGCACCCTTCAACCTGGGGTCTCCGGGGAAGTCAGGAGCCACTGGGGAAACTCGGGGCAGGCACGGTTACCTAGTTAATCTCCGCAGCGGCCTGCCTTCCGCTTTCTTATTCATGCAGAGGGGACCCTCCGCATTGATCTGGACACACAGAGGGGTGGGGGGGGAGTGACAGACCACCGCTCCCCTGAGCCAATAAAGGGAAGTGGTCCTGCCCCCTAAGGTCAAAAAGACTTTGTAAAAACAAAATCCAAGCTAATTCGGTACATGCACTGAATTATTCAAGTAGCAAGTCAATACTTCTCATGGGTTTCTCTTACCCAGGCAGCCCTGATAAGAAAGGAAATGTTCTTTAAGTCTACGGACAGAGTCGTGAGTCCAGACGGAGAAGAGGGAAGGCTGACAGGACTGAACAAAGATGAGAAATGCCTCAGCCCTTCCCGGAAAATAAATCATAGCCACACGGATTGCCAAGATCCAAAGAAAAAAATTTATTTACAATAGAGAATTTCATTTGAGACATGCATTTTCTTTCCTTTTTTTTTTAAAACAAATCAGCAAATGCAGATCAAGTTTACACTCCTTAAGGCAAGAGTCCCCGTGCAAGCTGTACGTGTTCATATTAAATCCAAAAGCCGCTCACCCCGGGAACTCATGTACAGAGGGCAAGGCCAAGGTCAGCGATGTGTGTTTTATTAGAGAATCAGACAGTCTCCCTGATACAGGAACTCTGAGGTCAACTTGCTATGAATTTATACCAGAAAAAATGCAAACCAATAGCAAGAACTTCTGATAGTCTCCTTAGCACTGCATACAATCAAATCACCGTTATTTAGAAAGGGAACCCAGTAGTGCACATGAACAAGTGAGAACAGAACCTGCCCATGGGACTGAAGGACAGCAGTGTGCCGACGGTCATATTGCACGCAACGGTCAAGTCCGAACATTTGGTTCAAAGTTAGCTTTTCCCCATTTTGGCAATCAGTTCATCACAAATCTTGGTGAGTTCTTCTATCTCTTTATTCTGCAAGTGAAGACAAAAAAAGATTGCTGAAATCTCCTGGTTGTTTAAAGTCAAGCCAATCAGAATGGTCATTGGATTTTTAGGGGCATAAGGTCCTTTAGGCCTCTTGGTCACCCTGAGAAACGACTTTCAGACAAATTATCTATCTACATCCCAGCTCTAGCTGTGTGTGACCTTGGGCAAGTTACTCAACTTCTCTGAGCCTTGTTTCCTTATCTCTAAAACAGATGACACCAGCTGTCTCTCTGAGATCTGAGGTCAGAAATGTAAACTGTCCCTAGCACAGTGACCCACACAGTGAAGATCTAACTAGTATCGGTTTTCTTCCCTTTACTTGCCTCTGAAGGATGTGGACACAGAAGGATGGGCTGAGCGAGCTCTGGGTGGCTTTTTTGAGAAATGCCGCCAGGAGGGGTTAAGCGAGTCTACACAAATGGGGATCGTGGGCATTATTCGATGCCAAATGAGACGGTGCTGTGACCCAAGGGAGAGAGGCAGAGGCAGGTGCAGAGGGCTCGGGTGTCCCTCACACCACGCCTGTCCCGCCCTCTAACCCCCTGTCAAGGGGAACCAACCGCATGCTGATCTCGCACCAATGACCCGACAACCTCTAAGAAGGGGGATCCAGCAGGACGACACCCCCCGCAGCAGGAGGGGCTTAGCTCCCAGATGGGCTAGATGCTGACCGGATGCCAGTGTGGCTGAATAGACCTCAAATGGCCTTCTCTAAGGGGACCAGTATCACGGGCACATTTCGCAGCCAGCTTTTCTTCCAGGTCCCCTGGAAGCTAAGTCTCAGCCACAGCCTGTCCCAAGGCTGTACTGAGGCCCGTCCTTGGAAACTTGGAACCTCTGGAGACACGTTCCAGCCCGGAGCCCTGTGTCCCACACTCCTGGGCTGGGCCCCTGGGGCCACTCATCCCTGTGCCGGTGCCCGGGGAGAATCGGGCCTCCTTCGTGGAGGAGACAGCCAGTCCTCGCCCATCCTGTGGCCAGTCCCCTGCAGGGAGAGAGCCCGCCTGCAGCACCCCCTCAGCTGACCTCCCTTTGAGAGTTTACAGCTCTGAGACACTCGTCGGAAGACAGGGGGCTCTGCATGGAAGGCCACACAAACCACAACGCCAGAAATCACTACTACAGCCACCACAGCCGAGGCTGGGGCTGCTAATGGTGACTTTGCATTTTACTGGGGCCCTTGGCAGGTGCTGGTCACCATGCTAAACACACCCCGGGCACTGTGGTCTCACTCAGTTCTTGCCACAGTCCCTTCATGGAAGCCACAGCCACCCCCACTGTTGAGCAAGGAGGCTGAGGCTCAGAGAGGTGGGGCCTCATTCTGGTCGGAGGAGGTGAGCACGGCACGCACGTTCACGAGGCCTGGCTCCTCCCTGGCGTTGCTATTGCACTCATTACACGTAACGTCTCGTGGCCGGGAGACCCCCTAGCTCTCAATTCCTGGAGTCACCACGCAGCACCTGGCACCATCAGCCCGACGCCAAGCAAACTGCCCCATCTCGAAGCTCGGCTCACTGGCGAAAACCTGCCACGGTCCCCACTGGGCACAGAACTTCCCCAGGGGAATCACGCGTCGGCATCTTTAAAGCAACAAAAGCAAACAGACTCTCCTCTGTGTCACGCTGTCCTTCAGGGAAGAGCCCGTGGGATTCACTCATTCTTCCTGAGTGTCCATTCGAGACAAAATTACGTTTCCAGATACATTCGCATCTTTCCTGTCATCCAGTCCCAGGCAGTCCACCGTCCGCCGTGGTTTGCCAGGAAACTCAGCGTCACTTTCATTTTGCAACCGTACAGTCGGAACAGGCCAGGCGCCTCGCAAGCCGCCGTCCTGGTTCCCGTTTCGCCGCCATTCACCTGAACGGCCCCAATGTGTTGCAATGGCAACACCGTCAAATCCGGACGGAAGCAGGAGGGAATGATCGCCACCGTTTTTGCTGCATTTCTCAGCCAGAAGCATGTGCCACACAACTGCCTTCACGCCCCAAATGGCTGGAGAACGTGGTCTTTAATTTACAGAAATATTCCCCTTTTCAAAAGTCACCAAGAGTGCCAGAAGTGGATTATCGACAGTCAAAGAATAAAAACAGACGGCCGCTCAGCACTAAAACTGCAGTGATTTTCAGTAAGTACCGAGTGAACAAGGGCTGGCAGTGCGCGGTTCTGACCGTATTGCTTGTCTCCATGGTAACTGCAAAGGTCAATGATCAGAGCCTGCAAAATAGAGGTGGTTGAACACAGTCTGGGCTTTCTTTTCTTTGGGAAAAATACAATTCTAGCCCTGGCTGGTGTGGCTCAGTGGATGGAGTGCTGGCCTGAGAACCAGAGGGTTACCGGTTCGATTCCCAGTCAGGGCACATGCGTGGGGTGCAGCCCAGGTCCCTGGTCAGGGGGAGCTCAAGAGGCAACCACACATTGATGATTCTCTCCCTCTTTTCCTCCATCCTTTCCCCTCCCTCTAAAAATAAACAAATAAAATCTTTAAAAAAATACAGTTCTATAACACTAAACTTCCCAATGGCCATCTGTCTTTTTCATCCCAAGAGGAAAAGGAATGAAGGAAAGTGACCTGGGGACACGAGTTTCTAGCCATTTGACTCGTGGGTGACTGAGACCGAGCTGCACCATGGGGCACCGAGGCAACTGGAGGCTGGGATGCTGTCGAACTTGGACCTGAGGGAGCTTCGTTCAGTCCATGGAGCCGTAGAATTCTCAGGGCTGGAGGGCGTTTCCCAGGTCTTCCGGTTTAACCCTCCAATATTACAAACCTAGGCACCGAGGTGCAGTGCGAGGCTTGCCCGGGGCCCTCGCAGATGGCCCTGGTGGGGCGAGGACCTGAGTCTCCCAAGTCTCAGGGCTTTTTCTGACGTCACGCAGCTGAAGTGACAGGTAGTACCTGCCACTGCAGAGATCAGTGTTGCCGGGCCCAGACCCCCCTGGGGACCTCAGCCAGCGCCACTGGGATCTTGCTGGGTGTGGGGTCAGGAGGGGGGCCAATCCGAGGGCAGCTGGGTGCTGCTGGATTGGCAGAGGCCATTTGGGAGACGTGCTGGGCTCCTGATGCCACCTGCTGACAAAGGACCCCCCCCCCTCCAGCACTGCCCAGCAGGTCCTGGTGCATAAGGAGTGTGGCCAGCTCAGGCGCCCGGGCCCTCTGGGGACCAGCTCCAGAACACGCGACCGACAGCTCAGTAAACCAAGTAGAATCAGGCTGCGCATCTGGAAACACACCCAAGGAGGGGGCCTGCCACCCCCGCCACTCAGACTGATGGCACTCCTGGGCAAAAGAGGCTTCTCCCTGAGACTCCCATAGAGGGTGGGTGCCGTTGACTGGACACTAGATTGGAAATCAGGGAGCCTGGGGCCAAGCTGGGGGGCCTCAGGAGGATCCCCCCCCACACCATCCAGGCAAATAAGAGGACACAGTCCATTTCCTGCAACTACCCACTATCCTGGAGTGTCCCTGGTGGGTACCATCCACTCACCAGTAAGTGCAGTGGTTAAAGTACAACATAGGTGCTTAACTATTTGACAGCTAAATGAATTTGTTGAAAAGGAATGAAAACCAGCAACAAACACCCAAGCGGAGACCTATTCCCAGAAAAGCAGGAAAGAGGCCAGTCTGAGGGCGGGCGAGGCTGGCTCTTCCTGGAGACAGCAGGGATTTACCCCTGGAGCCCCAGCGCGCCCTGGGAGCACCGCAGCGCGAGCCCAGCCTCGGTCCGCCTGCAGGTCTGGCCAGCCTGTCTGCGTGGAGGCCACCGCCCCCCGCCCCTACCTTCTGCTCCAGCGTCCTCTCCAGGGCGTCCACCCGCAGCTGCTCCTTCCGCAGGCTGGCCTGGTAGGCAGCCTGCTCCTGCTGGGCCTTGCCCCGCACCTGGGCGATCTCGGCGTTGGCCCTGTGGGAATGGGGGGCGGGGGACTCAGAAGTCATCACCCTCCCGTGTAGACACCTCCCGCCTTCAGGGCAGGGGGCACGGCCTGGCTCCAGCCCCCACCAACGAAGACCCAGCACAGGCACCCACCAGGACCCCCATCCTGAAGCCCAGCCTCACGATGCCGAGGTGCTTTGAGTGGGTGCCACGGAAATGACAACATGCAGTCTCCACTGACCAAAATGCACCTGACCTGAGCGCAGTCCTATCCCGAACCACACTGAACTGTACCGAAAAAATGCACACGGTCCCCAGGCCCACGCCAGGGGTACCGTCGGGGCTGCCGGCCAGCCCGGGAGCAGCGCAGGCTGTTACCTGTCCAGCTTCTCCTCCGCGTGCACCTTCAGGGCCTGGTACCTCTGCTCCTCCTTCTTCACTCGGGACAGGTACTCCTGCGCACACTTCTTCAGCACCTCCTCATTCTGACACAACAGAGGACAAGGATGGGGCCCACAGGAGAAATGCCGAGGGCTGCTGGGCACCCCAGGAACCCTGTGGTGAGGGTGTAACCCAGATGGCCAAGTCTGACCCCCCAGCCTGCGGGGATGGCCTTCCAGAAGCCTGGCTGTCCCCCTGCCGGGCCCGCCTCTCCCACCCACATGTCCCCGACACAGACGCACCTTGCGGAAGCCCTCCAGGACCTCTTTCATCTTCTCGTACCTCCTGAAGAGGTCCGCCAGAGACTTCTCCACGGAGTTCAGGTCAGCCAGGGCCTGCTCCTTCTCCAGAACCAGCTGCTGGACCGCCTGATGGGAGACCGACTTCTCCCTCTGCTCGTCCTCTGGCGGGAGACACAGGCACAAGGCCATGGAGCCCGCGGAATTTGAGCCCGGTCTTGGGCCAGCAAGGCCTCAGCCTGACCTGTGTGCCCCTCAGACTGGGGACAGGCCTGTCCCTTGAGCCCACCTAGGCTCTGCATCTAAGGGAATGAACCCCCCATGGCCCCCGCATCCCAGGCCTGGGCCTGTGCAGTAGTAGGTGGGGTGGACATTAGCCATCGTTCTGTGTCCTGACCAGTGCAGCCCCATAAAAATCGACTACACTGGAGACCCCAGCGGCTCCACGTGGTGGTTGACGGCAAACAAACAGACCCACGGGTGAAAAGAAAACATTGCCGCTGGGTTTTGTGTTGGGCAAAGGGACAAGGTCCTGTCGTCTGGGCTGAGAGGGGCTGGCCTTCCTAAGTAGTGTCAAGGTCAAGAGATGGTCACTGAGAAAAGAAAGTCTTCTTCACCCTTGAAACATCCCATGGAGCCACTTCTGTCAAATGAGTCTCTCAGTTACGTACATAAGAATTAAGTTCTGGCCCAGTTCCGAGTGGCTGGTCCTGGTGAATGGGACCGCCCTGCCCCCCACCCCACGTTTCCGGGCCACCACGAACTACCATTCTGCACAGACATTGCAGAAACCTGCCCCAGACTCGTGCGAAAGGCCTTCTCTGACCACGCACAACACAGCTGCCGGGGCGCACGGTGCTCGCTAGCTGTCTGCTGACCCAGTGCTGGTCCGGGTGGGCGGGGATCCATTTGTCATGACCGGTCTGCTTTGGTGACGGCCCCCACTCAGACCTGTCCCTCTGGGCCCAGGTCACCTGGGGCGGTCTGCCTGCTGTCGGGGATGGCCTCCGCATGCTCCCACGCCAGCACCCAGTGCCAGACTGAGCTCCTCCCTCCTACTGAGCACCCCCTGGGGCCTCCCCTCCACCCCTGGCCGGGGAACACAGCCTCGCTCCTTCCCCAGACACTAGGCCCTTGGCCCCTGTCCTCCCTGCCCCCAGGGCGCAGGGCTGCTGTCCTCTGCAGGAACACGGGCCGCAGCGCTGCCAGGGCCCTGTCCTCGCTCAGGTCTCTGATCCCAGGTCACCTCCCCAGAGGCCCTTCTCTGGACGCCTGTGGGAAATGCCCCCTCTCTACTCTCGTCCTGGATTCTCTTCCCAGCAGTGGCCACTCCTCCTCCTCACATCACACACGCGTGCATGAGTGTGCCCACGTGCGTGTCTGCTGGAGGACCCTGAGTTGGTTTGGCCCACTGCTCCGTCCCAGGGCCTAGGGCAGTGCCTGGCTCACAGCACGAGTGAACACACCCCCTCGCAGTGGGCGAATGTGTGACGCCTGGTCACAGCCCCGGGCAGGCTTCTAACCTCCACTCACAGCAGGTGAATGGGGTCGGAGAGGCTACGTCTCTGGGCCACTGTGGCAGCTGCAGAGTCAGGCCCGCCCCCACAGCCGTGCTTGGACGCACACATGTGCACAGGCCCCTGAACGACAGGCCTGGAAGGAAGCAGCTCCCCCACGGCGGGGAGGCGCTGCTTCGGGCTCTCTTCCCTCCGATTCCCAACAGACCCACGGTTGGCACAGTCATGTGTGTGGCAGGCAGAGTGTGGAACAGCGGCACAGCTCTAGTCCTGCCACGGACTTGCTCAAAAGTCCCGCCCGTCAGGGTCCTAGGGTCTCATTTCCCAAAGAAGGAGTCCTCCGACCTGAGCAGGGGTCCCCATCAGGGGGGCCTTGTTCAAATGCAGGCTGGTGCAGCCCTTCTCCCGGCCTGGTGGGTCCAGGTTCAGTAGGTCTGGGGGAGGGCTGAGAACACCTGTGTTCCCAGGTGTGTGGAGTACGCTGGGAGAACGACGGGCCCAGGGGATGCTGATGACCCCTCTGACCCTAACCCCCACCACAGGGACGGGGGCAGGCAGAACCCAGTGCCAGAGTTTGGGGTCCACGCTCAAGGCCTGGCTCTGATGTGACCCGGGGCGGGGTGTCGAACCTCTGTATCAGCCTCCTTCCTGGAAACAGGGATCCCAGCCCTGGTCTCATGGCATTCGGGGGAAGAGTAAACCAGAAAATGCATACAAGGCCTCCAACACACAGTCAGAACTGGGTTCGGTGGCCCCTCATCAATGGCATCATTGGCAGCAAGGAGCTGGCGTGAGGTCAGGTCACAGTGACCCACCCATCAAGGCGGAGCTTCACTCAGGGCAAGAACAGAACTTCCAGCTGCCTGCCTTGCTGCACGGTGGCGCCAGAAAGAGAGGGCATTTCACCCATCCGCCAGGAGCCGAATGCTTCTCATTCTTTGAAGCTGAGCCGCTTCCCCAGTTCTCAGCCCGCTGCACAAAGCATGCTCTGGGCCGGCGTGAGATCATGTATACATTTCACTTGGCTTGCAAAGAAGCCATTTATCAAACAGGGTCCCTCTGATTTCCTGGATCGAGACTAGACTCGGTCTGCCTCAGGCTTCCTCCCCTCCCCACACCACCCTGGTAAAAATAGAATTTCCAAACCCCAGGGAGACAGAGGAGGCCAGGAGTGGAGAAGGCTTCACAAATCTTTGTGTCAATTACAGGAAATCAGCCCCAAACCCAAGAGGCTCCAGACTTAACAACCAAGGATGCCCCTGGAGATTTTTCTGATGTTTTCAGGAAAAACATGATTGAACCACATAGGGATACAGCCAACGCACAAAAATCGAAAGTAACAAAAACAGAAAAGCAAACGAACAAACAAAGGTTGCAAAGGGCGGGTGTCAAATTAGATGAAAAGCATTTACTTACCGGGCTTGCCTGTTTGTTTTGCAAGCGAAGGGGAAGAAGCAACGGAAAATGGAAGCAAAACAGATAATCAGGGCAGTTGTTAGGAAAGCAGAAAAAAACCCGAAAGCGACCGCCTGCAACGCGGGAAGCACGGGGTCTTTCTGTTCTGAGTTCTCCATGCTCAGTATTCGAACTGAAGGCGTTCTCTTTAGGAACATGGGATGAGAAGGGACAATGATGGCAGGCAGACGTCACGCTGGTGTGGCGTGTCTGTGACGGTTAAACCAAAGACACAGAGCCAGGAGGGGCTAGTGCAGGTGGGTGGACACTGGTATTAACTTCAACATGATGTTCTATTCCCCCTGGTCCCAAATGGCCAAGCTCTCTGGGCCAGAGTTCCCCCTGCCTCAAGGAACGCTGGTTAGGTGAACGAACTCAAACAAGAAGACAAATACGGAATCCTGATGAGACACTGTGTGGCCTCCCCTCAGGGAGAGACTCGTGGCTCGCCCACGGCCACGGTGAGTCCCAGCCGTGCCTCAGCCCACATCCTCAGTCTTCTACAAGGACACAAGGACCTCAACATCGACGGTGGCCCTGATCAGTGACCTGTGGCAGTGATGGACAGAGGACAACCACAGATATGCCACCTTTCTGGTGAGGTCAGCTCTGGAAAAGGGAATGATGGAGGGACAGGTAAGAGATGCGAGAGGCCAGGGAATGAGGAATTGGCACACAGCGAGACCCACCCACCCAGAGAAAGTGCTCCAAAGGGGTGAGCTCATGGCTGTTGAAGAAACGAACCCTGGGCCAAACATCCCAGCTCTTTTGGGCAGGGGGAGGGAGAGAGTTACTGGGGGGAACAGGGCTGGGCGTGGCCATAATCCCTGGGATCGGGGTTTGGTCACTCCTCAGATCACCTAGAACAGAAATCGCTGTTCTAACTACTCTTGCCTGCCGATGTGCTGTCTGGAAAGTATCAGAGCTGACTCGTCTCGTCACCTCAAGGACAGGCCATCGACGCCACTCCAGAGATTTTTACTCTTTGGGTTTTCAAGAGGGAATGTCTTATGTCAAAACTGCCAGCCAAGCGATAGAGATGATGGCTCAGGGCAGCCCCTCCCGGCAGCAACAGCTCCAGGCCTCTTACTCCAAGTTCAATATTGGCCTAAACGTCATCGCCAAGAGAAAAACAGAAATGGATGACTCTGGGGCACAGACGGGTGCTTCCAGACAAGCCTCTGTCGGTCTGAGTGGCGTGTTCACATACCCAGACTCCAGGGGGCCGGAGGCTGTGTCAGGCTTGCCAAACGCCGTGTATTAGAAGACATAAATCCTTCATCCCAGCCACTTTCATCGGCATTTTCGATGCTAAGAGTTTTGTTTTTTTATCTCATCCATACGTATTCATAAATTCTTCTACCAATTTAATAAAGAGGTTTGACTTGATAGAAAACAGGCGCCACGCCGCTGATTCATACGAACCCCGAACGGGCTTCCCTGCCGAGCTCGAGGAAAAATGGCCTTTATTATAATAAATCAAAACTAAAGCTCCTTTGAACGGGAAGCACTCAACTGGCAGCCTCCTCATCGTTCCCAAGGCTACTCTCCCGTGAATCTTGGGGGAAGCTGGCGGGGTGGCATGACACACACCCCAACATTTGAGACAGAGGGTCATCTGCTAGTAGAGTCGAACTTGGACCACAGAAGCTGTGGTCTGCGGGAGCTGGCGTTTTTACTCCGTGTGTCCTTGGGAGGAAGGGTCTTTAAGAAACGAGTATCGTGGAGCCAAGCAAATGAATAGACAGATAAACAAAAACTCCCCCTCTGGAGTCCTAACATCCTTTTTGAAAAGTGATCATTAGTGTTAAAACTTGGGCTTAAGAACTTTTGCAAGATCTTTTTCTCACTCATTTTTTTTTTTTTTAAAGTGAAGGATCAGATGCGTCGAATTTGTCACTGAGGCGCTGTTTCCCTGCAGGCCAAAGTGATCTGGCGGCAGTGGCTGCCACGCTGCCACGCTGCAGGGGAAGCAGGGGCGCGGCTGGACAGCCACAGCTCCACCGTCCTTGTCCTAGACGGTGTGTACGGGCCAAGTGGGGTGTTTTGTCACTTACGTCTAAACTACTTCAGGGTTTGGGGATTTGACTGCTAGTTTCTCCAGTGAGCAAAACAGGCCCCAAACATCCCAGGAACCAGCCCCCATCCCTTTCCCCAGTGGGTGGGCAGTCCTGGCTGGGTCAAGTGGTGGCCACTGAGGTGGCCGCCAGGGACATCCGAGCAGGCGTTTCCCAGAAGTGCCCTGGCTCTCCGCCCTGGGGCACAGACCGCAGGGTCTAACAGGAATCCAAGAGGAGCCCGGTCCGCGTCTCCATCTTCAAAGCCCTCCCACAGCCTGGAAACCTCAGGGCAGGCCTGAGCCCTGCCAGGCACGGCACCCACCTATCATCTGCGCGATGGTCTTCTCGTACTCGGCCACTATTTTCCTGTAAGAGAAGTGAAAATGCGTTGGGACCATGACAACAGAATGGCCTTTAACTTCCCGCAGGGCCCGCGTGCCGGGCGTCCACAGCCCGACTGATGTCAGGTCAAGAGGGCAAGTCTTATCTGTCCTGGGTGGCTCATACTCCCGGAGCCACCCCCGACCTCAGCCCTCTCCTTGCACACCCAGGTAGGTGCATTTTCCTAGTGCACAGCTCTGAACATGCCACTTCCTGTGCAAAACCGTCAATGTCCCCTCACTACCTAAGAAAAAAATAAAGCCAAACCTTTAGGCTGACCATCCAGCCTTCCACAACCCAGGCCCACTCTCCCTCATTGGCCTCACCTCCTGCCACACCATCTCATGAACACAGTGGTTCAACGAGAACGAATGATTTCTTGTTTGCTCTGGACTTTCTCACCTCCATGCCTCTGCCTGTGTTGTTCACGTCCCCTCTCTACTTGTACCTTTCACAGTCTCCTTCGTTTCTCAAGGCCCAATGCAAATGCTTTCTCTTCCAGGAAGCCTTCCCTGATTTCTCCTTCAAGCTCCCTAACATTTTATCTGATTCTTCTTCCAGCATCTCACAGAACACAAGTGGAGGAATCATAGCATGGGAGTGGAAGCTCCTCAAGGCCCACGGCCATTTCTCAGTCACCCGTGTTTGGTGGGGAGAGGCAGGTGGAGGAAAGAGTAGCACTTCTTGGATAGTAGTGATAAACAGAAGCTACAGAAAAGCACTAAGATCCCTTGCACATAAGACCACCTCACTGCTGCCTGCAGGTGGGAGGACCCGGGGGTGAAGAAGCCCCTCCTCCCAAGTCAACCATCCAGAAGGAGCCTCTTGAAAAAGACTTGGGGGTTTCACCTACATTATCCAATAATTATTTTCCACAGGGAACCAGGAGCTGCTAACCACCCACGGACCCAGTGGCCTGGTTCCAGCTGACCCTCCCCCCAGCCATGTGACTCAGACTAGCCAGTCACAGGCCCTGGGGGCTCTGCTTAGTCCCCAGCACAGGGAGCAGGAGCCTTGATTCTGAATTTCAGGGCTGTGGAGAATTACATGAGGTTACAAGGGATAAGGAAAGCAGAGGGCCATCTGCAAAGGTCTCGCGGCCGCTGGGGGTCTGCCCCTGGCTTTTCGACCAAGGCCCCTGGGCTGGTGTCTCTGCCCGGGGCAGACCCATACAGGAAGGGTGACCGTGACAGGAGCCCATTTGGGTTCTTCCTCACCCCACCCAGAAGCCTGCTGTGTTTTCTGTGATGGAAGGACACCTCTCTGCATCCCATAACCAGAAACTGGTGATGGATGTCCACAGCTGTACCTTCGGAACCATCACCCCCGCGGACACAGGTTGGCCCACGGCAGGTGAGCGACGTGTCCTCTCAGAACTGCTGGGGGACCGGGGACCTGATGCCGCTCAGCTGTGCTGCATCTCTGCCTCATCCTCACAGTGGCCCCAGGAGGCCGTGCCCTCCCTGTCCCCCAGAACTGCTGTCGGGGTGCTGAGGCACAGCGGGAACCTCTGTTCCCTGCAGGAACCTCTGTGAGATCCCAGCCCTACAAGTGGCAGAGCCAGGATTCGAACCCAGGCATTGGGTTCGGCAGCTTTTGCCCCGAGGCACCAGGATTTATCCCCTTTCACAGATGACGAAAGTGAGGCAGAGTCAAGTCACAGGCCCAGAAGCAGGGAGGAAGCAGGGCCCGACTTCACCTGCTCTGGGTCCAGAGGGGGACGGGGCTGGCACTGGGGCCACCGGACACCAGTGCGGCTGCGCCGGCGGCGGGGGACATGGGAAATCCCATCCCACCAGGAGGTACCTGTAGGTACAACTCCCCCAGGAGATGAGAGGAGTTGGGGAGCTTCCAGCCTTCCCTGTAGTCTCTGCTTCATTCCAGTGCAGGCAGAAAAACTAAAGCTACCTGTTCCCTCCCCACAACTCCCACCAACCCCCCCACAAAAAAACCCCTAAAACCAAAAACCCAAAAAGAAGAAGAAAGCGATGTAAAAAGGACACGCCCACAGGGGCCCATTCACACCGCCCTCCAGGAGTGGTCCTGAAAGCCTGGGCCCAAGGAACACACTCACAGAATTTTCAGGGAGATATTACCGTATTTTTGGACCATAAGACACACCCAGGTTTTAGAGGAGGAAAATAGGGAAAAAATCTTGGAGCAAAAATGTGAAATATTTAATAACATACTAACATAATATTTCACCAATGTCAATGTAAACAGAACTCAACAGCAACATTAACAACCATTATTCCTTCCAAACTGGGGGGTGGGGGCGTGTGTTTTATAGTCCGAAAAATATGGTACTTGACCCAGGAAACGGGGGATGGGATTACCCAGTTCACTTGCTACTTAATATGCAACTGATTTTGATAATAAATTAACACCTGCTGTCACAGTGAGATGCCCTATGAATGTACTAATTCTTCGGCAAATTCACCCATTCCCTTATTCCCAACTTTGAGGAGAAAGGAAACCTACCATGGATTTTCAGCGCAGCACAGACCTGCCTTGTTACACGGACGGTGCTGTAATCCCTACAATTGGAGGAAAACCCAAGAGAGGATTTCCTCTCGGGTCTTCCTTCCAGCCTGAGAGGAAGGAAGGCAGCAGAGAAAACGTGCACCGTGCTTCCTTGGCCGGGACATCCCAGGGCAAATGCTAGCCCCAAAGACGGTTTCTTGGTTTCTAAGACGACGAGGAATGCAGGAAGGAAATAAAGGGGACGGGGCAGCAGAAGTGAGAACAAGGGAGCTGGGCCGCTAATGGGTGCGGCAGAAAGAGTTTGGGTTTTGGAGTCCGAAAGGTGAATTCAAATTCATGTTCTTCTACCCTGAAGCTCCAGGACTGGGGGGCAAGTCGCCTCATCTGTCCGAGCCCTCTGCTGTCAAGCAGAGCTGACAGTCCTGGACGGCCAGGGCAGAAACAGAGACTGGGCAGCCTGGGCCACTCATGGCACGTGGCAGGCACTATTAACATGGTATCAACACGCATATTAACACGATAGCTATCACACATTTATTACAAAAGCAGCAACTGAAAATAAATCATTCGAATGAAATTTGGGAGAAAACTTGAATGTTTACCCACTGGGACTAGTGAAATTTATTATGTTATAACCACATGAGGACTATCGAGCAATACAGGCTGAGATGTAGCAAAACTGTCCAAGACATGCTAAGTTACAAAGGAGTGTAGAAGAACAGATATCTCCACTTTTGAAGAAAAAAGGAGCCTCTGTGTGCACACTTGCCATCAGCAATGGAACATTTTCGGAAGAAGTCACCAGAAATGGTGCCCGGCAGATACCTGAGGGGTGTGGAGCTGGAGGCTGGCCGGGAAGAGATTTGTTTTTTCACTGTATGTACATTTATTGCTGTATTTAACCCACGCACATGGTTATTTTAATCATACGAGAACAGTAACAACACTTTCGTGAAAATGCGAACCTTGGTAATAAAGAACAAGTCGCTTCTACCGAAGACACTATTCTCGGGCCACACCAGCCCCACGTGTGACCAGACCATAGGTGTGGGGGCCTGAACACCACACTGACCTCATCTCCATCACTTCCCGCCGGCTTTCTTCATATTTTTCTTTCCACTCGGACACCTCTCTCTCCTTGGTTAGGATCTAGCTCCAGAGAGAAGAGAAAGGTTGGCCCCCAGTGAGTGAATTAAGATCTGAGTGATTGACTGACCGAGACAAGGGGACAGTAAACAAATGTGGAGTCAGTATCTCCGACATCGAGTAGTAACTGCATTCAGAGCACTTCACGGAGCATGAGAGGGAAACAAGCCGGATATCAGGCCTTCACGATGCCCACTGGGCAGCAACTAGAGACCATAATCACTCGTTAAACAGCTGTGTCCAGAAGGTCAAAACCTACAGTTTGCCACCCGTCCGTGCCAGCAGTGGTCACAGGAGAACGTCAGTGTCCAAAGATGGACGTGGGCATATATATTTATTTACACGTGGCAGACACAGCAGCTTTTCCCCAGGCAGCCAGAGCTGGCCATGGCCTTGCCCGGGGCACACGCGCGCCAACATACCTCTGCTCTGGCGACCTGCAGGGCGGAGTCCAGGTCGGGCTGCTGGAACAGGAGGCCTGCAGGTTTTTCCACCTCGGCGGTCCCGATGCGGGAGTACAGGGCTGTTTTGGAGATGGAGACATCTGTCGGGTGAGCAGCTTCTCTCTGTGGAATGGTTTTTAATTTAAAAAAAAAAAAAAAGTTACCATCCATCGTATGACAAAGAGGATTGCATTCATCCCCTCATGAATGGGTCAGTTGTATGGTTTGGAAACAGAGAACATCCAAAGTATGAGAAAATGCTAAGACTAATGAATGGGGCGATGGCAGACACAATCGATGGAAATCGATCATTTTGCACTTGTGCAGACGGACAAAGGGGCTAATGGCGAGGCCTCCCCAGCGCCCCGCCCGCGGAGTGGAGCATGTCTGGTGCCTGCCTATCGCTGCCATTTATCAGCCGCCGAGGCATTCAGAGGCTCAGCACGTGAGAACCGAGGTCATGTTCTCCTGCAGGCTCCACTTGCCAGATAAAACCCTGATGTGGGCGATGTGGAATCCCAGTCTGCACTTGCCTAGTCTCGAGTAACGGCAGAGCCGATCGTTTCTTAAAATTTTTATTTATTTATTTTTAGAGAAGGGGGAAAGAGAAAGAGAAACATCAATGTGTGGTTGCCTCTCATGTGGCCCCCACTGGGGACCCGGCCTGCAATCCAGGCATGTGCGCTGACCAGGAATCGAACCAGCGACCCTTTGGTTCACAGGCCAGCACTCAATCCACTGAGCCACACCAGCCAGGGCAGAGCCGATCATTTTTATAAGACGGTCCGCACGCCAGTCCCGGGGGCGGGGCGTGCGGTGAGCTCTGTGTGAAAGGGGTAGGCTTCACACAGAGTCCCAGGCCTGCCGGTGCTGCCTTCCGCAAGCTGGAGTTATGTGGCCTTCGGCCTGTTGTGTTGCAGGAAAACTGAAAACGGGATCAGGCACAAGATCCACATTTGTGGATGAGGCCGTGCACAGGCAGTGTGACTCCCCGCCCCTTCTACCTGACCCCGGATTGACTGTGAACAGTAGTCACTGCTTTCCCTCAACAGAGGAGGGGTCTGCGGTTCCCTTCCCCGCCCTTCGCACAACACACTCAGCAATCGCCAACACACTGGAAACGCCATGTTAGGAGCATCCTCACCCAGCACAGCCAGGGAGTCAGCCTAGTTCTACGGCCCCAGGAGCACCCGACCCGTCGTCCTCTTGGTCCTGTTCATCAACCTCCTGGCAGTCGTGGCTGCCAAGGCCAACCTCCTCCCTGGTTACGAGTGTCCAATGCCATGCTAAGCGACGGTGGTCTGGCAGCACAGTGGACTGACTGGTTCTTCCTCAGGAAATTTCCGAGAAAAAGCGCACAGTGAACAGAATACCACGATGTGGTAGACAGACAGCGATTTGGGGAAAGAACGGTGAGGACTCATAAATGGCAGCAGGGAAGATTAAAGAACCAGCAGGCACTGGGAAGGGGGTGCACTGGAAGGCACCTGAGCAGAATTTCTCTCTTGGCTCACCAGAACAGGCATACCTCCCCACCATGGAATCCGGGAAAGTGAGCCTGAGACGCCGAGAGAACTCGGGCAGGAGTTGAATGCACAGGACCGGAGGTTCCCGGGTTGGGGCCGGTTAGTCGTGCGCATGCACGGTGAACCACACATGGTTTGGGTCGTCCGGGAAGGGTCTCACTGCCCCTGCCTGGCCTGGGCACTGGGACCCGAATGGTGATGGCTGGTCAGAGAGGGGAGCACACAGCCCTCGTCCAACCAGACCCCAGAGACACGCTCCTGTCTCAAACGGGACGCTGGGAGCTTTTCGGCCTCAGGTCCTAGAGAAGCCTGGGACAGGACGCTGGACCAGAGCACGGGTCCACAGCCCTCAGGAGCAGGTGGGGTGGCCACCCCAGAAAAAAGCCACTGGCCGGGGCAGAGCCTTTCCGACCATGTTGGGGAAAGAATCTTTGCCGTTTGAAGTGTTTTCAAAGTTCTACCTGTGAGAAACTGAAGGAGCCAGGGAAACGAGGAAGTGATTGTTCTCAATTTTAGCTGCTCGCTCGACCATAAGGACAGGGTGCACTTAAAGGAGGTACAGAGCTGATTGTGTTAAGTCAGCTCCTGGAACGCCAAGCAGTGGGGGGGGGGGGTGGTAAGAAGACCACAACCACAGCATGAGGTTTAAGAGCCAATCAGCCATACTATCACGAGCTGTCCACGAGCTCTAGTAACCAGTCCTTGGTCAGATCACGCACCTTAGTATAGCCCCTGAGCCAACAGCTGCCACCTTCTGCTTCTGGAAGTTGCTTGCTTGCTCACCTCTATAAGAACCCTAGTCGGTAAGCGTTCGGCGCGACTCTCATTTGCAGCCATTTTGGCACTCGTGTGTCTCCGGAGGCACCCCGAGAGTTCGCCCCTGCGCAGGTAAAACTTTGGAACTTTGGCCAATAAAACACCTTTGACTACCCAGCAGTCTCCGACCCTTCTTGCTCGCAAGGACGGGATGTAACAAAACTTCTCAGGAAGCAAGTGGAAAATTATGTCTCCACATCAAGACTCGTCATCTGTGTTTGTGGATGAAGCTCGTAAACACAAAATTCCAAAGAGGAGCAAAAATGGTTCCTGTCACTATTCAAGTAAAATAATGTGTTTTTTGGACAAAACCAGAATAGTTAAAATTTCAAAATGGAAATCCTGGTCCTCCCAAAGATGGAAAAAAAAAAAAATGGAGGGCTGGAGCGATTTGGCCAAGGGTCCCCAGACCGAGATTCAAGTTCTGACCCCGAACCAACCAGCTCTCGAAAGTGAATTAAAGCTCACTTGGCCGTGCTGGGCAGAAACGAAATCTGACCAACGCAGGAATCAGTGATCCCAAAGCCGCCTTTGTAAAGCAAGGGAGGGAATGAAAAAGGAGTAAAATAATGGACTCTCTCAGGAAACACAAAAGGTCACTGCCCACGGCAGTCACTCCGTGTCCCTCTTCATCTTGGCCACCTGGTGTTTTCAGTAAAGGAGCAGGTGATGCCGCTGGAGTTGCTACCCGAGTTATCTGCCTGGGAGTGAAATTCAAGGTACACACCCTGCTTCTCTCTCATGACCAAGACCTGTTTTTAGCCGAAAGTAATAGGTTTGTCTCTCATTGATAGTTTAAGATCGGATTTACATTAAGCTTGGTTTCTCTTACATAATCCTCCACTTGTTACTTTAGAGGAGCCAAAAAGCTACTAGAATCACAAATCAACGTGTGACATGGCCATGACTCAGAGGGCACGAGCCTGTGGCACCGACTTCCAACCCCTCACCCACGCCCTCAAATCGTGCTCCCTGGGTGCATGGCCACCCGGTCAGATCTGCAGACCTCACGTCTGGGGTCCTTCCAGCCTTGCAGTCAGGGGCTAGGGGCCAGTCTCTCACCGGGACTCAGGTGGCCAACTCCCAAGCGCCAAGCCTCAGAGAAAAGCTGCCACCTCTGGGACCGAGGCGGGCTCTCTGTCCCCAGGAGCCAGGCTGGCCGAGCAGCAGGGGAGGAAGGCACTGGGGTGGGGAGTAGAAGCCAGGCAGGGAGACCACACAGGCTGGGCCAAGGGCATGGGGCGTGGACACAGGCTCGGTGCTTGGGGGGTGTTCAGGCCACGTGGCGCCCGGCTGGGCAGGAGAGTGGCCTCACCCCAGGGCTGCCCCATCCAACTCTGACAAAATGAGGAAGGCCCGCCTGTGGGAGCCACCACCAGGCATTGCTGGACACTCCTGAGTCAACACATGGCCTCGGTCCTTCTCAACACGGGCTGCAGGTGATGACCACACCTCCTCAGAACTGGCAGGGAAGCTGGGACCCACCATCTCTTCCCTTGCAGTGCGGTCTGTTGCGAGGGAAGAGGACTTTCTAGGACCTCCTCCACTGCAGACACTGGCCACTCGTAAATCCCCGTTCCCGGATTACCCAGGTACACCCTTCCTTCTCTGTGTCTCCACCCCTTCATCCAAAGGGGCCAATAGCTTTAGGGATTGTCACCAATATCTGTTAAATACACAAATTAAACCCCTCCCACCCCCCACTCTCTGCCCTGTGCGCCCTGTACCCCTTGGAAAGCCACGCAGATGGGACTTTTAGGTTTTATCTCCTCGGTTTGGTGTTAAACTCAGGGCAGCCAAACCACACAGCCACGACCCCGGTCAGATTTACTCCCAGGAGGACAAAACTGAACTCAGTTCCACCAGAAGCGCGTGGATGGACAGCACTAAGGCGCCACCTTGGACTCCCTGGACCCTCAGGAGGAACCCCACTGTGGCCCCCCAAGGCTGGTGGGACCAGCTGCCCATCTAAAGGAAAAGGTAAATTTAAGCTGCTTGGAGGTACAACCAGAAACCACCCCCCTCTTCATCCCCGCAGTGTGATTCCTTCATTCCAAGGAATTAAGGAACCCATTTCTGCATCGTCAATGGTGTAAGACCATACTGCCAGGAAGACCGGGCCATGTCCCCTGCACTGAAATAGATGGGCAGAAAAAAGAGCCAATCAGATCCACAGCAGCCGTGAGTCCCTATGTCGGCGACTCCCAGTGGAGGGAGGGGCCATCGAGCACCCATGACCAGAAACCTCCAGGAACGTAAGAGGGTTCAGGTAAAGGGCTCTCACCTTTGGGTGGGTCAGGAGATGGCACCTACTTTCCCTGGGCCAAGGTCACTAGCCAATACGCTTCTTACAAAAGCAGTGCAAGTTACTACAGCAGAAAAAAAATGTTCCTTCTGCTCCCAGACATTCCCCCCTTGGGACGTTTTCCTGAGCCCGCCCTTCTAAAACACACGAGGAGGTAGCTGGGGCCGTCTCTGCCACCCACGCTCAGTACATTCACACCGCAGTATCTTCTAGATCAAAACCGGGACACGCGGTGTGAGAACAGGCTGTGACTGGCCGGAAGTCAGCTGCTGGCCGGTGTTTGCGGACTGCCTGCCGTCTCCCATGAGGCCTCGAGTGGGGGCAGCAGGGGTACCAGGCACCCCAGAACATTCGGTACTCAGTCTGAACTACTCATTGGAATAGTCTCAATTTTGCCTCAAACTCTGGAACAGGAATATACTGTATTTGTAATGACCAAACTAAGCAATTCATTCTGCCTTTAAGCTGCTACCCAAGGACATCAAGAAATAAATCTAACGGGGGAAAAGACTCACCGCATAATGCTTTCTAAAGATCTCATTTGCAGGGGAATTAAACCCAAGTTTATGGGTTGACAACAAGAACAAGGATATCAGTGATCTGTTTCTATACTCTTGTCCCTGTCCCGTGTTCCGCTGTGTCCAGTCTGGACACCCAGGGTGACCACCTTCTTTCACTAAGAGGTGCCTCTGCTCCCCCTCGTCCCAGCTCCAGGGAAACCACAAGTGGGTGCTCATGGCACAGGCAGCAGACAAACTCCTGATCCTGCGTGAGGATGAGGGATGGGGGAGACCTCGGACCCCGCTGCCAGGGGAGCTGCTGCTTGGGGTGGATGGGCAAGGCGCCCCAACTGGACTGCCAGGCCTCGGGCCGGTTCCGTGGCTCCCTTCCCCGGCCGTAACATGGGACCACCCACCTGCTGAGGAGGGATACTGTGAGCGTCTAATCAGGTAACAGAAGCAAAGGTGAGGGTTAGCTAATAGCAGCAGCTCTGCTTTATTGCACACCTACTGTGTGCCAGGCATCGTGCTGCTCTCCACATCACCTACACTGCTCACAGCAACCTGTGGGCTGGCTGTGGTCAGCCTCATCTCACGGATGGAGCAACGGGGGCTCAGAGAGGTCCACCAGGTCAGGCCGGGTCCAGCTCTGGTCTGACACACCAGGATCCCGGGGCCACCCAGCTCGGGGTGGGCTCAGCCTTGCAGGACCACATGCCGCTTCATGCCTTCAGCAACTCATTCAAACCGTTAAAAAAAACACACCCCACCCCTGGAAGCCAGGCAAAACATTTCGGCATGCCCGTCAAGAACATGCGCTGCTGCAGAGTGGGCTTTGGCAAACCGCAGCGCACCGCCAGCAGCCTGCCACCCTCCGGTACGCAGAGGGTCTCACTGCATGGCCTGCCACGGCCACTCGTCAATGCACGGCCCGAGGCTGCTCCTGAGCGAGGGCGCAGAACTGCGTAGACCGCGTGGCGCCCGAAGCCTGAGTATGTGCCATCTGCCCTCCGCAGAAAAGGACAGCTTTTCTGTGGTCCTTCTGACCCTGGCCAAAGGGCCATCGGACGTCTCGGGATGGTCCTGCTGTCACTTACTATTCGCTATTAACCAGAGCCCAGACTCAGCACAACTAGATAGGAACTTGTAGAAAATGGAGAGGTTGCAAATTATTTTTGTTCCCACAAGAAACGAATTTTAGAAATAATACGAGACCTCCAGGGTGGCTGTGGTCTGCTGGTTCTCATCTGAGCCAGCTGGACCTCTCACCTCACTCTGTGGGGGGGGGGACCTCTCACTCTCACGCTGACTCCCACCCCCGTGACCGCACTGACTGTGCGTCGGCTCCTCTGTCATTCAACCAGCTCTGCCGTCTCTGCTGGGTCCCTCGTACCGGGTTAGATAGGGTCTCAGACACGTGCACAGTGTGGATTTAGGCAAGAGTTACGCGTTCAGCTTTTTGGAGAATTAGACGCTGTCAAACACCAACAACAATGCCGGCCAGGCCGAGGGTTAGCGGAGAAGCGTCTGGACCACGCACCATTCTCGAGGGGCGGGGCGCAGCGGCAGCAAACCAGTACCTTGGCGTCCTGGCAGCTGCGGGAAGCCAGGGCGATCTGCCTGGCCAGCTTCAGCGCTTCTATCCGCATGATGGCAAACTCTAACTCCTCCTGCCGGGATGGGGGGCAGGGGGAGGGGGGGGCATGAGCCGCGGGGGAGATGCACCAAGACAGGACGTAAATGTGTCCACATCCACGAAATGACGGTGTCTCGTGAATGTGTCATGACAGGTACTCGGGTGAACACACGCTCTGCCTTTCTTTCACAACGAACACCTCAGCAGATCATGAAATAAGTGGTTTAATTTTCTTTTTTTTTTTTTTAAATCACCCTTTGGAATGTCTATCAGGAAATAGTACACATGCAAATGCAAAATGATTTTTTAAATGAAATAAAAAATTTTACTGTGCTGTTTCCTCTGATTTCTTTTGCTCATTTAATGTAAAGTTGGCAAGCAATTTCCTCAAATGCATTCGTATCTCCTGAACAACTGTTAGCAATCCCTCCAGGTTTGCTCTGAACCCAGTCTAGAGGATATCAAATTAAGTTGTCAAATTGAAAGCACAGAGGAGGTCACTGTCTCGGTTCCAGATGCAGGACTGAGTCCAGATGTTATCCCTATGGGAGTCTGAGAGCCGCACACATACAAATAGCTAAGACCCCTGTTTCCGAGAATAAATCACAGAAACTGCTTTCGGGGCTATCAGAACTCCGGAAAAAGGACTGGGCCCCAGTTCCAAATGGAAACACAACGGTCAGGTCTGTACGGAACCATGCAGTTTATAGCACTGTGGCGTTGTGGGTAAAGGAACGCCACGTACATCAGTCTCCAAGGGGAAGACATTTCATTTGGAACTTTCTCTGCAGTTCTTCACGAAATCCTCCCTCACTGCATTTGGGGTTCAGAGGTTCATTCTCTACTGAGGTTTTGACAGACTCCCCAAGGCTCACGCGTGGGCTACAAACCTGCAGTTTCTGAGCAAAGAGTGGGGGGTTCTTTTCGGCTAGGTCAGGTTCCAGATAGCCCAGCGCACCACAGAGGGAGGCCGGGTGAGCCAGCCTGCCGAGGAGCGCGTCGGCAGAGGCAAAGGCACCCTCGGGAGCTGTCTGAAGGCCAGCGGGGGGGACAGAGGAGAAAGACAGGAGAGCAGAGTGACATCGGTGCCAAGCAACGACCACGCATCTGTTGGCTGGACATTTCTGCCTTAGGCTGAAGAGAGGCTCAGTCAGGGGCCAAGACTGCTCTTTTCCTCTGGACTGAGTCCCAGAGGCTGACCATGGGCCCCTTGAGAGCGGCAGGTCACGCCCCCTCCCCCAAAGGCAGCTGAATAGCCTCCCCACCCCCCACACCCCCCTCGCTCCCTAACTGGTGCTTCCTACCTGGTCGGTGGGAGGAATGGTACCTATTTGCTTATTTATTTAAAAATCTCCCTGGGCGGGGGACAAGCTATTTGATGGGGTTCCCCAACATGACATAACTCTTCGAGAAAATACCTCCCCTCCCAGTATAAACATCAAAGAAAGCAAGGTTTGGGTTCAAGGTCATCTTCTAAATAATGGAAAGAGGATTTCCGAAGGAAAAGTGTCTCCTCATGAAACAGACTTCAAAATCAGAAGGCAGCTTTGTGGGTGAACCCTCCACGGCCATCTATTTGCGAGATTGAGTCCCATGTAGACTCTTCTCGCTCAGTCATAATTTCCCACTATCCAACTGCCAGATACATAGTAGGTGCTCAATAAATATTCGATGTGCACATCAGTAATTGGTTTACTAATATGGAACAAAGAATAAACACGCTCAATCAACAGCCTCGAACCCACTTGGAGGCTGCTAGGAGGAAGGTAAAAGGAACAAACAAAAACTTCACCCAGAAGGGTGATCCATTTTAAATATACAAGGGGGCGGGGCGTGGTGAGAGGCTTCAGCTTGGGCCAATGCGCCCAGGGGCCAGAGGTTTAAGTCCTGGCCTACAGACAGAGGGGTTTCCCATCACCAAGGACCAGGAAATCCCATAAAGGAGAGTGTCCCCTGCACTGCCACCCTCTGTCCTTGAGAAGCAGGTAAAGACTGAGGACAATCCTAAAGCAAGGGCTAACGGTGGAAAATAAACAGCCCTGAAGGCAATCAAAGCACTTGGGTGATCACTCCACAACCGAGCGGGTAAGAACAGAACGCCCTTCCTCATTAAGATAGGGGTCCCCGAGGCTGGCTTCTGTGGGCTGGGGCGTGGGGTGGGGCCCACGCCAGGCACCAGGTGAGTACTTGGCCCCTTGGTGGTGGGACCCAGTCGGCCCTGGCCTCCGCCCTAGTGATCTCGGGCCCCTCTGACCTCACTTACAATTTCAATGGTGTCTGAAGCGGTGCCCAGGGCCATGGCCTCCAGCTCCTTCTGGGAGGATTTCTCTGGCCCCTGCAAGTGTGGCTCTTGGTTGGGGGCCAGCCCTCGAGCGATGGGATGGGGGATCTTTGCCCCAGCGTTCACAAGGGCTTCAGTCTCCTCAAAACTGGACCTGAGGAAGCAAAGCACATCTTAAGCCCCCGCGCTGGAAATGCCGTGGAACAGTCCTGGATGCCCGAGCCAGCCAACGTCCCAAGGGGCCCGGACTGCCAGGGCTGCGCTCCAGGGGTAAGGGCGTAGGTCTTGGGGGGCCAGGGCCGGTATGCCGGGCAGCCTGAGGGAGGGGCGGTCCCGCCCCAAGCCAGGGCCTGCTGACAAGGGCAGGTCAGAAGCACAGACATCACTGACTAAGGGGCCTGTGCCGTGGAGTCGAGCAGACTGCCAGCTGCTTGGGTGTGGACCCCAGGAGAGGTGATTGGGTCCTATGTCTCCATTTCTGCAAGAAGGAGACGCTATACCTTTCTGTGAAGGTCACGTGAGGTGCCCCCTGTAGGTAAAGCACTCAACACTGGGCCTATCACTTGGTGCCATTGTTGTTGTAACAGCAGCAGCAGCTGTACCCTCACCACGCCGGGAAGACTCTACAGTGAGTCTGGGAGGTCAATGTCACAGCTTTTGTTCCTGCCCAGGGAGAGGGGGAGGGCAGGAGACCATGGGAAGTTCCCAGTCCCAGAGCGATGCCCGACCCGCACCCTGCCCAGCAGCACACAGCTCAGCACTCAGCCCTGCTGAACACTAGTGTTCACGTCGACATGGATAATCGACAGTTATGGGGCTCTTTGTGTGTTCCGGGCCCCACGGCAGCTGCTTTCCTTAGCACCCCTTGGCTTGTTCCTCCCGGTGGCGCTGGAGGACGGCTACCCCACAGTGGGGGGATGCCCTTGAGGCTGACAGCCTCGTTTCCTCTTCGTCTGACCCTGACAGGGCCCCTGGTATTAGCACTTCTGCTTCGCGCACAAGGCAATGCAGCGTGAGGGACGTTGGGTGGCTTGGGTCTGATCATGCGCCCAGCAAGGGTCGGGGTGGCACGTGGGCTCCGAGTGCTGTGGCACACTGCCTCCCCAGGGGACAAAAGACAAAACAAAGTTGTGTGCGCCCTGGGGGGCGATGGGAGGGGTGCGCACATTCAGCTGTTAAAGGATTTCGCCTTAGTCCAAAGGGCAGCCAGTAACAAACCCACTGCATTTAGAACCCACTGCATTTACGTCTGGGTGGACGTTCAAAGAAATGGAACTGTCAGCTGCCCGAACACACACCAACCAGATGACATCAGAGGCTGGGGGACCCTGGCCTGCCCCGTGACCGTCTCATCACAGCTGTCGTACCCTGAACACGGCGTCGGGGACTCCGACATCTGGACGGGGGGAGACTTGACTGGGCTCTCCTGAGATGTGTCAAACATAAGGTACAGGCCCGGTTTCTTCGGGGCATCGTCGTCCTGCTGTAGGGGTCAAAGGCACGCGTCAGCTTGGCTACCACTGGCCCGAACATGCTGCAGAGACGTCAGCCAGAGCGCTTTCAACAGGAACACAACTCATCAGAGAAAAGCCCTTGTGTTTCTCAAGCCACCCAGAAGAGGGGGGCAAACCAGCGCTGGGCAGGAGAGAGGAGGGAAGGAGGGGAGGCAGACAGAGCAACTGTGTGTGGCTGGGAAGGCTTTCGAGGGGAGAAGGGTTTTCACAGCATCCTTGGCCACGTTCTCTACGGGGTGGGGTGGGGTGAGGTGGGGAACGGCGCCAGCCGCTGAGGATAAACAGAGGGGCAGGCTTTTAAAAGCCCAGTCTGGGCACTGCCCACAGTTGCAAAGGGGGATGAGCATGATGGCCCAGCGTGATGAGTGCTGCTATGGTGGCTGGCCGACCTCCAACTGCAGTTTACAGGAGGTGACCCAGCACTGAGGACTGCAAGGAAGACGAAGAGCGACACCCGTGGGCCACTTGGCGTCACGGTACCTCCAGACCTCTGAGGGCATTGCTGGCAGCAGCGCAGTGCGGACGGAGGTCATGCTCAGGACCAACTGCTCCGTGGCAACAGACACGAAGCCACACAGACAGCTGCCCGTCATGCTCACTTAAAATGCAGAGGGAGGGGGGTGTTGCAGGAAGAGATAATCTTCAGTTACATGACACAACTGATTTGAAGACCACAGAACATGGTCCACCTTAAAAACCACCCATTTACAAGAAATCTCTGACTAGTTCTTTGTCAGGCTAGGGAAATTGTGCTGTAGGAAGTCTGAGTTCTATCATTTTCTACCTGAAAATGTCATCTGAGGTGTCCTGGGTACAACCCTCAGAGCCCCAGCCCCAGCTCACCCTCATGGTGCCCTCACGACGCGGCAGGCACCAGGGGCCCTGGATTGGAGGTCTGACTTCCCAGGGATGCTTTGCGCACAGGAGGAGGCCCCCGCTGGGTTTTCACGACAAAGGACAGGGTGGGAAAGCGAGTGCCCTGATTGGCTGGAGGGAGGAAAACTTACAGGTAAGGAGGAGCCAATTTTCTCCATATATTCAATTTCATAGGAGTTTCTGTAATCCAACTCTGCAGAAGGAACAAAAGGAGAGATGTTAGTGCCAGAGAAAAACATGGAAAGCTTTGTGCCGGGCAGGGTGGGGCCTGGCACAAGAGTCTCAGCGCTTCGAGATGTCCACGGACCAGCGGTTTCCAACACAGTCAAAGGGAGGCTCAACCTGGCTACCTTCAGGCAACTGGTAACCCCCTCTCCCTAGAAAGGGTCTTCTGCCACTTGAGAGAATTCCAAGGGAATTAAATGTCATTGCCAAGCACAGGTTTGACGGGGACAAATGTGAGCACTGTGCACCAAGTTTTCAGATCAGGGTGAACAAACACGCTTGGGGTGTTGGTTTTCTAAGTCTCACATGTGACATATGGGATCGTCCCACGTCCCAGTGATGTCTTAGAACAGGACCCACAGCTGTTCTGCTCTGAGCACTCAGCTCCAGCCACACCCTGAAGCAAGGGAAGAACCGATGGGCTTCCTTCAGTGTGGCTTGTCAGAGGCTTTGAAAGTCACCCAGAGTATTTCCCAAAGCTCTGCCGGTGCCCCCAGGGCTGGTCCAGATCAAATTTCCAGGTCCAAAGACTTTACAAGTCCAATTCAAGGGAGAAGTGACCTGTTTCAAATTGACTGGAAACTTTAGGCTGCAAAGAAAATCGCCGACACTCACACAGGAGACTAGAAACACACCGCCTGCCTCTGCTTCCGTGTGAAAACCCAGCTCTGCTACTCAACTGAGCTTCCTGTCTCATTAGTGGAGTCTGGGCACCTACGATGTGCTTCAAAGGGTGCTGGGCCCAGGGGGTGTAGTGGTGAACAAGACCCAAAGGGACTCTCTCATTGAAACCACCGTCTGCAGCTACCAGATGGCTTTTTGCTCCTTAAAAAGAAAGCCGAGAGGTGACATGTGATCTGCTCAGAAACCAGCTGGACGAGAGTATCTGTGGCAAGGCCTAAACTCGAAGGCCTTCATATTTTTTCTTTTTTTGCATAAAAAAGGTCACTTGCAAAGATCAGAGAGCACGGGAGCTCGGTGTCTGTGACTGTGACATCAACCTGACCGGAGACGCGTGCGCCCCTCCATGAGGAGGTAGGCGGGGCTTGGGGGCGGTGAAAGATGGGATCCTAAGGCCTCTCCAGACCCATCACTTGCTGTGTGCAGGTCCCCAGAGCTATGATTCTATTATCCCTTTGATGACTGTTTTAAGTTAAGAAAACAGGAACCGGCTGCCTCCTCCAAGGTAGCATTGGCATCACTGAGGCCTGAGTTAACTCCGGATCATTGAACAGAGACTCTCAGCACACCCTGTCATGGCACAGAGCACTCAGGATGCACCAGACACTTTCTGGGACCCGTGGCCTTGGGTCAGAAAGGGAGGAGAGAAACATCAACGTGAGAGAGAAACATCGATCAGTTGCTTCTTGTACACGCCCTGACTGGGGACCAAACCCACAACCCAGGCATGTGTCCTAACTGGGAATTGAACCTGCAACTTTCACTTTGTGGGATGATGCCCAACCCACTGAGCCACACCAGCCAGGATCGTTTCTGGAAATTTTAACCTAAGTGGTGAAGAAAACAGCTCTTTGGAAGGGGACGAGGATGCCCCTCCCAACCCCCTCGCTGTCACCCTGAACCTCTGCAGTGGGACGGCCAGGGTGTCTACCCGTCTTGGAGGCGGAAGGAGGGGCTGACAGCTGAGTGTTGAGGGAGACAGGGGAACCGCGTGACCATCCAGGGCCACCCAGACTTGTGAAGCTGAAACTATTTCTTTCACAGGATCTCTTGGACCTGAGCAAGGGGAGGTCTTGGAGGCATCTGTAGGGACCCCATGGACCAGGCTTCCCCCCACAGCACATTTCAAAAGACTGTGCTGGAAAAGGGCACTCACTAAGCAAGTGCTCAAAGAAAAGTGTTTGGGAGTGCCCATCTGAGTTTTTAATCAGCGGGAGACTATCAGTGTTCCCACAGTGAGTTGATGTAATTACAGCCCAAACATGCAATTTTAATTAGCCGGGCATCCTTCTCAACTAGTTGCACTCAGATTTTTCAAAACATTAAGCCAACCTGAAGCTCTCATGGACCCAGGAAGGGACATGCCCATCAGTTCAACACCCTCACTCTACACACGACAAGGGGGGAGCCCATACAAGGCTCACAGGAGGAGTGGGGGCACAGGGCAGGGGCCCTCCATGTCAGCAGGCCTGGCTCTCCACGGATCAGCCCTGAGGCACCCCGAGAATCTGAGCAGCTCAGAGCCTCTGCTTCCTCTCTATTAGATGGGGAATTCTAGAAGCCCCCCCCCCCCCAGCTGGCAGGGCGGAATGAAACTACACGCGTGTGCAATGCTCGGCGAGGCTTGCAGTGAGTGCTGCGGGCCAGCTCCCGCCCCACACCGCGGCCCAGAGGGTTCCTACAGTCCTGATTATGCGTTCGGAGGACAGTTATTGTTCCTAAGGGTTTTCCCGTGGTTTGCAACTTCCAGGTAAGTGCCCCCGTCCAGGGCGGCCCTGGCCAGGCTCTTCCTCAGTATCACAGCAGTGCCCCGGGGGGCATGTCTGCAGGTGCTGGCCTTGACCTCACTCAGGTAACAGGAAGGATGATCCAGTAAGAGGAGATCCCGGGTCCTGGGCCTCTACGGTCAGGTGAGAGTGAGATGGTGAGTGTGGGGTTGCTGGAGGGAACCAGGTGGATCAGAGAGGAGAATGCGGGTCAGCACCTGCCGGGAGGGCCAGTGACCTGCCTGCAGGCTGTCCGTATGGTCGGGACTTCCCAGATTTAATAAAGTTTTATTCCAAACCTGCAGATTTACCTATTTGTTGAATCTTTGCAAAAAACTGTTACTGAGCTAGGGAGTTGTCTGTTTCAGTTCAGTGTTAATGACGAAGGAACAGATGTTACCACGGAAGGAGGCCCCTACCCATTAGCTTAAAAGGCACTATAAGCATCTCTATATTTCCTAGGAAAATAAGGCATGTATTTGATTCCTGACAATACAACCAAACGCACACCCCCCCAAATCATACCTTTTGATTCTTATCTACAATGGTGAACCCAGGTTGGTTTGTAAACGGCGCTCTGACATACAGAAGTTCCTTATCAAGCTTTAAGAGACATGAACCGGCAGGAAACCACAGGTGCTACCAAAACAGCCAGGTCCACGGCTGGGGCCTCAGCACACCTGCGCTTCTGGGATACCAACCCCCACCCCGCCCCAGATCTCCCTCCCATCGAGGACACCCACTACAAAGGCCAAACTGACGTGTTGCCACTAAGCTGCTTCCCTGCCTGGCCTTGCATTTCCTTTCTCTCACAAAGCTGCCTTTAGCTCCTACTGTGCTCAGGAAGCGGTGGGGACACACAGATGGACCAGGGGGCATGCTTGCCTTCAGGAAACACAATCTAGCCAGGACGCAAGAGAGGCACATGCATCACCATCAGGGCACTAAGTGACCTCAGAATGGCACACACGAGGCTTAAGGGCAGGCAGAGCAAAGGTGGTGTCCAGGGAGAGGCTGCGGGGGGGCAGGACTAGTGCAGGGCACAGGGAAGGGGGCATTCCAGCCCGGGGCCAGCAGCACAGGCAGCTGGCCCCGGGGGGTGTCCCTGGGGAACAGTGGTGGGGCTCACAGCTCAGGTGTGTGTGCAGAGCAAACCCAGGAGTGAAGAGAGGTTAAGGTCAGGCGCCCCTGCCCCAGCTCTAGGGTCAGGCTGCAGTGAGAGGGTCCCTGTTAAGCTTTCCAAACCTGAACCCAGAGGGCCAATCCAAGAGCTGACCACAAGACTCCAGTCTGCAGAAAACACAGTGCCAAAAAACCCCACGGACACCTAACTCGAACCACCTTTTCATCTTCACACTTAGAAGTACAGGTTTCCATGTTTGATGGTCCTCACATGGACACGTACTCAATTTTTTAAACTCGTTAGAAATCACCATCTTGGAAGGGGAAACCCAGAACCATCAGGACAATTCAGAGGTCTGGGACCGGGCCCACACTGGGCTCCCAGGACTCGCCGGGTCGCGGGGTTGGGGGTGGAGGACCACCGGATGGTAAAATGATGAACCCTTCAGAGGAAAGACTCTAGCTGCTCCCCCATCTACTCTCCTGACAAGACAGGAGGTGTGGAGGCCAATATACACAGTGAGGAAAATCAGTGTTAGTGGAGTAAGTAAATTTTAAAAAATGATTCACCAAAGCACGTTGCTATAACTTAGGATGTATGAATTCCTCCAGCCAAAGAGTCAGGCAGAAGGCTGCCAGTGCGTTCACACGAGAGGAAGGAAGGAAGGAGTAAGATCAGCAGCGTGTCTGGGGGCGCCTGTTTGGAGCTGGCAAGCTGGGGTGAACCTCTGCTCCCGGGCTCGGGCAGAAGGCGTGGCCACACTGTGGACTTCCCCATGTGGCCGATGCAGTGGTGGCACCGATGGGCACAGGGAAGTTGACCAACAAGACCATTTGCCTTGAATGATGCTCCTTGGAGCTGTGTGTTTCAAAGTCACCACGGGACAGTAGCCGTACAGCCGCACGTGAGCAAAGCCTGGTGAGCTCGGGGGATTAGAGAGGGAGCCACGGGGGCTCCAAGCAGGGGCTCGGGTCACAGCATCGCTGCTCTCAGGCCTCAGGCTACTTCAAAATGCAGCCTCAGCTGGCAGTGCACGGGCAGCCTGCAGCTGGCGGCAGTTACCTGGCTTAGGAGTGTCCTTCCTGGCCTTTTGTTCCCTAGGGGCCGTAGTCTCCCAGGCAGGGTGGGGGTCCGGCTGGCCACCCAGTCGCTTACCCTCCTCGGGCGAACCGAACTTGGTCTCGTTCACAAAGGTGGACAAGTCGGAGGGCTGCGGGTAGTCCTGTTTGTCAGCCTCCAGGTCCACTGTCATGCATGTCCACTTCTGGCTGGTGACCGCCAGCTTCTCCTCGTCGGTCGCATGGACCACGGCAGAGATCACCGGCGGCGTTTCTGGTGTTGCCGCTGGAGTGGGGTCCTGTGAGGAAAAGGGGAGCAGTCTCTCCTCTCATCCAGGGTCTGCAACCGAAACTGCTCCTGGGCCACCCCCCCCCCCCCTGGGCCAGGGCAGGTCCCTGTCCAAACCCCCCGTGTACCCTCCCACTCTGCTCAAAATGGTCCCAAGGAAGTAAATCCTTTCCTCTATGAATCTCCTCTGCCAGTGGCTTGTTTCGGGGGGTGCCCATGGGTTTAAAAAAACTGGGGTTTTGTGCCTTGAGTACTTGAGATGTTCCTGTTTGTTCACTTTGGGAAAAATAAGGGAACGTTTATTTCTGGCGGTGCCGTTACTATGACGACTGTGTTATGGCTAGTGCTTCAGGCCTGCATGTCACTATCATCTGACTGTCCTGTCGCTGGGGACAGGGAAAGGGGGTCTTATTTTCACCTGCACAGAGGAAGCGAACCTGAGCAAGGTGGGGCGGGAACCCAGAAATGTCAGAGCAGAGTGGGCTCTGCCACCCAAGACCCGTGTCTGGGGTTGGCCACTTCTCTCTGCAGCCCCCACCCTGCCAGGGGCCGGCTGGCTGGGGCTCTGTGGGCTCAGATTGGGGGTGGGAGGTCTGCTTTGTGACCTGGAACGGCCGGGCACACACGCCAGAGGATAGTCTTCCTTGGTTGTGAACCGGGCAGAAGAAATGGGTTATATTTGGTAGTGGAGTGAGGGAGCAGGAGCTAGGGCTGCGGAGGAAACAAGATGGATTTCCTGACTTGGGTTTCATAGCCCAGTGCTCTTCACAGACTCAGTTTTTCTCACTGTGTAGTCTTTTATCTCAACAGACTTCCCCAACGGGACACTCACATACATTTCAGAAAATTAACTGGCCCGAAGGGACTGGCACACTTCCCACAGAGCCCTCTGAAAAGCCCGGCATTTTTCCTGAAGAGCCTTCTACTCTCGGGACACACACTGACCTCCCCCCAAAGGGAAGGGGTCAAATGGTGTTTTGCCAACACCAAGCAGCGCTCCACGGAGGTGAGACAGGGCGCTGGCAACGCGGCCACCCTGGTGGGGAGTAAACTTGGCAGCCTTGATTCCCACGTGCACGATAAAGTCACAGACATCAAGAGAACATTATACCTGAGAAGGTGGATCAGAGAGAGGAGACCGTTTTGGCGACTTTTTCACCCTAAATGTGTCACTGGAAACAAAACGGAGAATGTGAACACAACACAGAGCTACAGAACATTCCAGAGCACACAGAACAGACCGAAGCCTCCGCCTCTGCTGCTGCCTGCCTGCCCACGCCGACCAGCAGATGTGTGTGCCGGTGGTTCGCCGGAGTCTCAAACAGACGCTTTCCTCAAGGAAAGATTCGCCAAGCTGGAAGCCTTTCCAGGGATGCCATTTGCAGAGCTGACCCAGATGATGACGCTAAATTTAACCAGATGTTCTTATTGTGCTTATTTTAAAAAGCAAATTTTGGGTGAGCAGATTAACGTGGCCTGGAATTCATCCAGGGCTGTCAGAACCACCCACTGCGGAGGGAAGGGATGAGGTGCCGACACAATGAGCAGGATTCAATTTACAGATGGCCAAGCCGACACACCACTTAATAAACAACTCTCGGAGCCGTGCGGAGAGCGGCAGAATGTTCCGGGCCTTCAGGGAGGGCTGGCAGACTTCTCCCTACTCACAGGACCCTGAGCTGGGTGGAATCCTGTGCCTCTGAGCTTTGAGGCGGGGTTCTGACTACAGGCGGGGCTGGAGGTGAGACAATTTTCTTAAATGTTGGTTAAAAAAACACCCACAACATAAAATGTACTATCTTAAGTATTTTTCACTGTACAGTTCAGCAGTGTTAAGTGCATTCCCACTGAGGACAGTCTCCAGACTCTTCAGGGATAAGATGAATTTGTAAAAATTGTTTTAAGTGTCTTTTCCTAACCACAGACAGTTCAGGACGCTTTTCTCCCTTCCTCTCCTTCCTTCATAGAGAGTTGGAGGCAGCGAGGACATGAGGCCAAGGAAACACTGAGCCAGACTCCCGCTCGGATGGTTCCTCCACTGGGAGGTCAGGGGTCATTTCCAAGGTGAGAACGGAGGCTTCTGCACCTGCAGATGGCCCCTGCCACCTGGTCTCAGGCCCCTCTGCAAAGACCAGAGCCTGGGCAGGGGGAGCTCCTACTCTTAGATCGCTCTGCCCTCCACGGCATGAGCACAAGTGGAAGGACAGAGCGATCTGGCACTCAAGTTCCTTCCCGTGTTCTCTCAAATAAACGCTCCAACAACGGCATTCGTGAAAATAACACTACAAACGGCTTTCTGTGGCATTTATGGCATTTGCCACATGAACAGCTTGAAGCATATATTTATTCATGCATATAAATATATTAACTGCGTATTTTTGATGTTGCTAAGTGGCTCTAAAAATATTAAACTCCCTTGGGCCGAAGAGAGACCGGGAGACTCAACCCTCTCTCGGGGCCACTGGGGGCCTGGGACCAGCCCGTTTCCCTGGGGGGCACAGGGGAGGCAGAGAAGCGGCCTGTCCGTGGGCCCGCGGGAGCTGCCCACAAGACCACTCCTGGCCTGGGAGACAAAGCAGTAGAGGCACAGAGGTGGTCTGCTCTGTTCCCACCGACGCCCAGCAGGATGACAACCTCGCAGGCAGCATGCTGATACCGAGCCCGGTCCTGAGTGGCCCAGGTCACAGGCCTGGAGCAGCCTGGCTCTCACGGGCGTGGGCTCCACTCCGAGCCGCCTCCCATCTCAGGGGGCTCCCGCAGGCCTCAATTTGGAACAGCCCAAACATTTCTGCTTCACCGGTCAGCAAGGACAAGCACCAGCCGTTGCTGCCTGGGGTCGACGGGATGGTTATTTCCATGCAAAGCCACAGTGCTTCAAAAGCCATCACCCACCAGTTCCATTTAAAGTGAAAGAATGAAATGAGAGTAAAAAAAAAAAAACAAACCCCCAAAAATGTATGTATGGGATTCAGATGAAGGCATTCAATATGCAAGGGGGGGAAGTTCCATTCCTGACAGGCAGGCAGATGCTGTGCAATGCCATTTTCACAGCCAAGGACTTCACGCACGCCGATCGATCGCTATGGAGCAAAGCAAGCCGCGCTCCCGGGCAGCCCCATGCCACGTCACGCCCAGGCCCGCCACGGCTACATGTGAGCAGCTGCCACGGACAGGGGAGGAAATGGGGGCGGAAGCGATGACAGAAAGGCAGGACAGGGCACCTTTAGCGGGAGAGGCGGTCCCATGAAATTTACTTACAACAGAGAGCACACAGACATCACATCTTCAACCACCCTAAGACACGAAGACAAAGAAAAAGAGAGGCAGACAGAAGGCACTGACAAAAGAGATAAATCTGCAGACAACTGGTTAGCGATGGGTGAGGATGCAGCAGCCATTCGCTCGGGGTTCTGCTTGGGAGTGGCGGGCACTTTCTGCAGAGGGGTTCTCGGGGAACGCCTTCCTCCAACCACCCCACAAAGCCCGGGCGTCCAAAGAGCTTTGTCCCCCAGTGTAGGACTCCAAGCCACCTGCGATAGAGGTGAGGCCATGCAATGGGCTGGCTTCCCTGACCCCAGCTCTGATGACAGAATGGGGCGCAGCCACACTGGCCCTGGGGGGAGGAGGTGGTACCACAAAGCTGGCTCTCCTTCCAAAGAAGAGAGCACCAGGCTGTGCATTCTGAACACGTCAGACTTCCCTTGTTTGAGGCTTAAATTAAGCTTCTATCGCAGATTCTATGGAGTCTCTAGCAGAAGTCTGGTTGGGTAACTGGTCTAAAAGTCCCCATCTGGGGCCGGGATTGCCTCCCACCCACCACCAGACAGCTGCAGGGTGACCCAAGGCCAAAGCCTGCTGAGAAAACCTCTTCTGCAGAAACCCCAGGTTCTTCTCAAATGCTAGATACTCGAGAGAGCCCGGGACGGCGATCAGCCTGTCTCAACCTGCATAGTGCCAGGCAGACTGGGTCTGATTCGGGGCCAGCAGCTGAGGTCTGTTCTGCTGGTCTCCGTGGCCTTGTCAAGTTACTGACGGCGCTTCACATCAGAGCAAAGGCTCCCTGTCCCAAATCACACTATGCTCGGACCAAAGTCCTCAAAATGGGCCTGCAGCTGCCTAAGTTCAGGCTGGGTCCTGGAGTGAGTTCTGGAGGTGTGGACACGCAGCGTTTGAGGGTGTCCTACTTAACAAGCGTCTGTGGACAACAGATCCAATTACTAATGGCCTCCTGGTGGCTGTGGGGGCGGCTTTTCCCTTTCAGGGCCCACTGAACACTTCTGGATCTGCGGGGCCTTCAGACTCTTGTCTATGAGAGACAGCTGGGGAAACAAGGGGTCTTTCTCCCAGGCCAGCAGGGGCATGGGGTGGGGGCGGGCCCAGGCCTCCTGGACTACTCTCCTTAATGGACAAACACTGTGATTTTTAATAGTATCTTAAAAGGCCTATCTCCTAGCTTCGAGGCCACCCCAAAAGCAATCCACATGCTAAATGGAAAAGACCAATGGGGAGGATGACCGGGTCTCTGCTGGACTCTTCCCTTCATGTGGGATGCCCAACGCTGCACCCGGGAGTGGAATGTCAGGTCTTCCACTGAGAGTAAAGCTGCAGGCTGCTGATGTACGAGGGCGAAAGGATCAAGGACTCTAGACCCCAAGGAGTAGGTGGGTGGGGTAAGGCCAGAGTGGGGTCCGGCCACAGACAAGGCGCCATCCTGGCGGGTGCGGGAGGCGTGAGGACAGCGCAGATTTATCCAGGCAGGTGACCACGCATGACGCCCCTGGGCAGCCCCGCCTGCTCCCCTGAACTTACGTCTTCAGCGGCGTCTTCTTCTTCTTGGCGGGCTTGTTCAGCCCGTCCCCGTCCGCGCCGTTGGCGTCCGTGGAACTGGCTGGGATCTCAAAGGAGGCTGGGGATTTAGAGGGTGAGCTGGGGGTCTTAGAGGATGTCTTAAAGGGGTCAATGGACTCCTCGCAGGCATCCGGGTCAAAGCTGTACGACTGTTGGGGCAGTTTGGGAGACTCCTGCATTTTTGAGGTGGAAGAAAAAGGGTTAAAATTGGGGTCATCCCACTTGTCAATATCAAAGGTGTAGGTACCTTTAGCGACAGGGATGTCATTGGGTTCAGCGGGGGACCTGGTAGGCGAGGCAGGAGTGTTGTCGAGTTTCTCGGGCGTTTTTTTCATCTTTGGCCTCCTTAGGGGCATTTTGGCAACTGGCTTTTTGCCTGGCTTTTTGGTAGGAGGGTGGTTTTCCTGCCGGCTACCCTTGTCCTCAGAATAGTCAAACTCCAGCCTCACTGGGAGCCCTTTGGCTGGGGAGTCCTCCTGCCCCCCGCTGTCTGATGGGGTCACCTCCACCGCCTCCAGGGCTGTGGCAAGAGGCAACGTTTTCCTCCCAACGGGGGGTGAGTTCTGCACTCTGCCACCTCCGGAAGCTGGGGGGGCAGCCCCTTCTGCCCTCTCCGAGTCCAGAGGGCAGGCAGCCTTGGGCACAGCAGCAGGTTCCAGCGGTGCCTCCTGGGTTGAGGCTGGTCTAGAATCTTCCAGCTGGGCTGATTCCACTTTTGTCTCGGATGTTCTATTCTCCTCACTGGGGACTGGACTTTCCTCGGCTGGCTCTTGCTGGGTCTCTCTCACTGGGGGGCTTTCCGAGGGTTTCTTTGTGATCTGTTTCTTTTTTAAGGAAGGTGGCCTTGGTTTCTTAGTTCGCTTAAGGGTACTGGAGTCGCTGCTTGAACCCGCGCTGCATGCATCGGGGGCCGGGACCACGGCCTCAGCGCTGCCTGAGCAAGAAGCACCATCAAAGTCACTGGCCTGCAAACTGAGAGAGCGGGACAGTGTGGACTTAGAGGTGGGGACAGAGTCCGTGGACTTCCTCCGAGTGCTCACTTTGCATTCCTGGTTCTTGGCATCCAAGGAGCGAGGCTCCAGGGTCTGGAAATTATCGACCAGCTCGATGCTGTCAAAGTCCAGGTTGTAAGTCCCGCTGCTGGCTATCGGCTTGTCTTCATCGAAGATGGCGGAGAAGGACTGGGCTGGAGGGCGGAAGGGGCTGCCGTCCACCGAGGCGCTCCGCGGGCCATCAGGGATGGAGGCTGACTCAGCGCCGCATCCTGAGGGAACCGGACAAAGCAGTCACGTAAGGACACAGGACACTTAGCAACGTTTCTCATCTCATGCCAGACGAGCGCCCTCTAGGCAGAGGCCCCGGCCAGCCTGACCCTGCTCTGCCCCAGCATCAGCTCCAGACCCGGCACGGGCTCCCCTCAGTGCCCTCCCCCGTAAGCGGGGGCTGCCTGAGGAAGGGCCCAGACCACTCAGCCATCAGAGACAAGTGCTCAGCTGGGACAAGGCACCGTCCCCGGTGCTGGGGACTCAACAATGAACAGAACCAACAACTATGCTCTTTAGTGGGAAGAGAGTCAAGAAGCAAATCAATAAGGAAAATGTCCAGACTATGAGATGTGTGCTCTGGAGAAAAATAAAACCAGGGTAGAGACAACACAATTTCACAAAAAGGTAGTCAGGCAAAGCACCTCTGTGGAGGAGACACTGAAACAAAGATGGGGTACAAGGCAGAGGGGTGAACCAGGAGGCCATCCTGTGGGAAGCATCCTAGGCAATGGGAACAGCAAGTGCAAAGGCCCTGGGGCAGAAAAACACCCCAGGCCAGTGGGGCCGCAGCCAGCGAGAGGAGCAGGTGAGGCAGCACAGGAAGCCTTTCACCAACACCAGCGGCTACTGCCGCCGAGCCCGTGCTTGCGAATCAGAGCCTCCGGGAGGAACAGGCAGCCTTTCCACAGAGGCCCCCAGGCCACCGCGCAGCAGGACCTAGTGTGCCCCATCTGCTGCCTGTCCCCACTCCAGGCATGCCTTGTGACCTCTCCCTCCAACACTGCCCGCCACGCTCCTCCTCTCGCCGCCCCCTATTCTTTCTCCTCCCTTTGCTGCTTCCTCCCAGCTTCTCCGCACCCTCCACCTCTGCTGGCCAAGGAGGCTGCTCTCGTTTTGTAATAAGATGCCGGCCAAGAGACGCTCCGCTCCCGCTCCCCCTCCTCCAGCCCCCGACCCCACGGGAAACTGGCCAGCCTGGCCTTGGCTTGGCCACTCTGGGCTCTGCTTGTACCAGGTGGCGCCTCTCATGCATCTGTGGGTTCTCAGCTGTCCTGGGCAGTCAAGGACGCCAGACGATGATTGGCCAGGAAACCAAAAACGTGTCCCTAGACAAAGGAGGGCGAACGTGGCAAAGTGGTCTGCGGAAGAGGGGATTAAAGGGTTGGCACACACAGGCCTGGGGAGGGCATGAGTTCCCAGTGTGTTAACCCGGCGAGAGTTCTGCCCCCCAGCACCCACCCTGCCCCCTGCTGGTACAGTTGCTGGATAACACACAGGACATTTGGTTCAATTAGAATCTCAGATAAATGAGTGAGATTTTTAGTATCAGTGTGTCCCATGTCCCAATTCTTTGTTGTTTATCTGAGATCAGAATTTAACGGGGGCACCCTGTGTTGTTATTTGCTAAATCTGCCAGCCCTAGCTCTCAGCCCAACACGCCAACAAGGTTTGGGAAATGTTCGTTTAACCCTGAACCCGCTTCACGCTGTCGATTTTGCTCAGCGCAGTTCATGCTCAGGACTGCAAATTCCAGGCGGGGAGCATTTCGGGTGGCACCCACCCAGCTTCGCTCACAAGCGAATCTTCCCCGGGAGCACTTGGCAGAGCACCCCTGAGAGGGGACAACGCAAGGAGGAGACTTGAAGCCTCCTGCGTTCAGGGGCTGGTCTGATGCCCCCCCCCCACCCCTGCCAGACGTCCTGCCCCTTCTCTGGAGGGCTCAGTAAATGCCTCTGGACTGGGGAGCACCTTCCGGAAGCACAGCTTCAGCCAGACATGGTTTCAAACCTTCCCCTCCTTTCTGCGCCCGATACCACCCCAGACCCCACTGGGAGCAGATGGAGCACTGGACGGAAGGCCCTCGGCTCTGCTCTGTTGGCCAAATGACTCCCTCCGCCATCTTGCAATACCCCCACCTCCTGCCCCTCTCTAAAAGGGGGGTACCCCACCCTCCTTCATTCCAAAATCAACTCCAACCCTACTTCCTCAGGGCACCCCCAGCACCCTGTTCTCCCATCGTCATTGCCTGGTCTCCCTGCCCTGGTCACACAGCACAGAGGAGACAGAAGAACCGGAGACCCAGGGGACCGGGTGCTCCCAGGTGGGCCTCAGCCCACCTCATCATTCCCAAACGCGGCCCACGGCCGCCACCTGCTCGCTCTCAGGCTGCTGCACAGGCCCCCGCAGCCCGAGAGGAAACCATCCGAGGCTCTTTGGATGCCAGTGGTTCTGTCCGAATCACACAACGGTTAGCAGAGTCAGCTTAACCATCTGCTCACTGCTTTCCCCAGAAGAAAAGCTCCCGGTCTGCTTAACACAGCTTTCCTGCCCAGAACTGACATTCTCTAATTAAATCATCATGGCCCAGGAAACCTAACCTTACTGCGGGGTTCTCGCCCTCGGCCCGGAGCCATCTCCGTCAGTCTGAGTCGTGGGGGGCTGTGCCGTGCTGTGCATCGGAGGGCGTTCGGCGGCATCCTTGGCCCCACCCACTCGACGCCAGCAGCACCCCCACCCCAGCTATGACAACTCAAATTGTCTGTAGAAATTTCCAAATGTCCCCTTGGAGGGCAAAGTTGTCCCTGGTTGAGAACTACTGTCTTACTGCGTGGTGACCAGTGGACCACTCATGACTAGCCTTCCATGCCCTCTTCAGAGGGAGCCTTAGACAGGACAGAGGTCGCTGCCACCTGCAGGCCCCGCTGTTCCAAAGCAAGTGTGGCCCACCTGGCTCTGCAGGGCAGCCCCTGGGCTCCTGGAGCCCACGCATGGCTCTCTGCATGGAGACCACTCATTCGTTCACTCAATGCACAAGTCATCTGGGTGCCCTTCTCTATCAGCCACCGCGGGCTGCCATGGACAGAGGGAGGAAGGACGGGACCCCAGGTGCATCCGTCCACGTGAATGGGCCCTCCCCCTCATGTCCCCAACAGCATTGACCTGGGCTGGGCCCAGCTGATGACGCAGTCGGCATCCTTGGTTCATCAGCGGCAAAGGCCCACCAGAAAGTCCCCAGCTGCACCAGCCTGCATGGCCCACCACAGCAAAGCACCCCAGATGGGGGCTTGAACAACAGACGCCATCCCTCCAGTGCTAGAGGCTGGAAGTCTGAGGTCAAGGTGTCACAGATCCGGGGTCTCCTGAGGCCTCTCTGCTTGGCTTGCAGGTGGCCGTCTTCTCCCTGTGTCCTCACATGACCTTTCCTCTGTGTGAGCACAGCCCTGGTGTCTCCTCCTCTTCTTACAGTGACACCAGTGCTATTGAATGAGGGCCCTACCCTTCTGACCCTTTTTGATCTTGGGCACCTCCTTCAGGGCCCCGTGGAACACAGCCCCACGGAGGAGGGAGCAGGCCTTCGGCCTGCGAAACACAGTGTGTCCACAGGGAAACACAGTGTGTCCACAACACTAGGCTGGGCAGCAAAATCCCCAGGCCAGCAAGACACAAACGTGCTTGGGAATAAGAAGAACTTCCAAGGAAACAAAACGCTAGTAAGAGGCACCTAATGCCACCCAGTAGATGTCACCGTGCCGTCTCCAAAGGCCACATCTCTCAGCCTCGTTGGTTGGGCCATTTCTAACCGGAGAACTCACTGGCAGCTGTGTTGGGGCTTCTCCCTCCCCCCACTTGTTCCCCTTCTCTCTGTGCGCTCACTCTGCTCAGGGACCGGGGCGGGGGGCCCAGAGGACCGAAGGGGTTGGGCCATGATCCCCGAGAGCTCACAGGCCACAGACTTGTACCCTAAACCAGTGCTTCGAGGGTAGGAGGCCTTCCACACAGGGAGCTGAGCTTCCATCTTCCGAGTGCAGGAGAACAAATAATGACTGCAATTCATGATGTCCACTCTCTCCTCTGAGTTGCAGACAAAACATGTAAAGAATGTAGCGCAGGCCTGGCACATGGCAGATGCTACGATGGGAGCTATTTTTTAATTATGTGACATTTAATTAGGTCCCTCGGTGGCCAGTCTGAGTTCTAACAACACAGGCACTGTAGGGCAGCCAAGTGTTCTGTTCAGGGGACCACGGACAGTGCGGAGGGAAGGATCTCAGGGCACTCTCGGGTCGCCCTCTTCACTTGAAAGGTAAGAAAACTGGTCTCGGATGAACTGCATCCTGGTCTGGCCAAGACCGGGTGGAGAGATGCAAGGGGAACCCAGCGACTCACCCAGCCTGCACCCTATAGAGCCCACACCTGCTGGTGGGACCCGAGATACGGTGATTGTTTATTTTGTGAACTGTAACTCTCCAGGAGGAAAAACCGTGTCTTTATTCGCTGCCAAAGGTCTCGTCTATTGTTTCTTAGGAGTTTTTTCGGTCCCTTTAGCAATGTCCCGGGGAACTTTGCAGAGGAAAACCAAACAATAGCTTTTCCTCTCTTGCCCATCATTTCCCATGGTTCTCAGAAGGCAGCTTTCTCCTCCGGCAGCCTCCACAAGCAAGTTCACTGCCTTCTCACGCCTGGGTCGTAGCCCCGGGCTGTCTGCAGAATGGACCGGCAGACTTTCCTAACACGCGGAGTGAATCCAATGGATCTCTGTACAGCCCAAGCCAGGGGGGCTTTAGGTACTCACCATCCCAACAGAAAATGCCTTTATTGTATAATCCGAATACATTTAGCCTCACTGCAGTTTCCCAAGGAGAAGGGTAAAGTCCCTGTTCAAAGACTCCAACCCGGTGTAATTAAAGTTCCAACAAAAGTTTCCAGGGATTAATGGCTCCAACCCTTCGGGGTGGGGCCTCTCTCCCACTGCTCTGTATTGCCCATTCTTTTAGAAACTGCCATCTGAAAAAGGGGTGGGTGCTATGCGAGCGTGTGTTTTTAACAATGGAAATTGTTTTGCTTTGTTGAAAAGGAAGTCAGGGCAGACAGAATAAGGACAGGCCGAAGAAAAGAACAGAAGCGGCGACCCTTCCCTAGAAGTGGTCAGACTGCGGGGCTGGAAACCCGAGTGGGCGCACGGGCGCTCACCTCAATGAGCTCTCTCTGGAGTTTGCGGATGGACGCTGGGCGTGTAACGCGCCATCCTTTTTCTCCCGAATTCTTTTCAGAAGCACCCCACACATTTACAGGCATGCACGCGTTATACCCACAATGAAGGATGGTTTATTCTTAAGCACGTTTGACCTAGGGATTCCCACCTGCCGTTCATGTTCCAATCAACTTAAGGGTGATTTTAAAAATAATGTTATAGGAAGTGAAATTTTTAATACACTTTAGTATATAAAAGGAGGTGGGGATGCAAAAGACTCTCGGAAATGTAAGCAGCCCTCCTGGTTTCTTTCCCAGAAAACCCAATACAGTCCCATCATTCCACCCTCAGAGCCCAGCACTTCGACCGGCTGTGCAGAATCAGATACTAGTAGCTGAGGGGCTGCCTAAGAGGGGAGAGCATGAAACAAGTGCATTCATCAGACACCAGCGAAGACATCTGCTCTCTCAGAAAACGGCCCCGCCCCAGGGAGCATCATTTGTGAGCAGCAGAGCCCAGGTGACCCTGCCCTTCCCGAAACAACAGCTCCTGTGAACCGAGGGCAGGCAGAAGGAACTGTATGCATTTCTTTCCAAAACTGACATCAAAGTCAAAATGTTATTTGATTTTACAGCCCCCTGGCTCCCGGTCAGGGCAGGAGCACAAACACAGGCCTGGCCCTCAGCCTGGCCCTTCTCCTCCCATCCAGCTCTGCGCCTCTCCTGGGGCAGCCTGGAGCACAGGGGTGTGGGGGTTGTAGGTCCCGGCCCCCACCCCCGTTACTCCTTGGCTGAAGGGGTGCACTCACAGGCAGAGCCAGCCCTGGGAAGACAGGCCGGAAGAAGGGGGCTGGTGGGCCCAGGCAGTGGCTGCTCCCAGGTGTCACAGCATGGTCCGGAAGGAGTGTGGCCTCGCGGCCCCTCCCACAGGGAGGGCCGTGGCCTGAGGAAATGGAGTCCTCTAAAGTGGGGGCCAGAGCAGGAGGTCCTGGTCTAAGGTTCGGCCGGCCTGTGGGGCTGTTTCTGACAACCCCGATTTCCTGCCGGGCCTCACGTTAAACTTTCATGCCTGTGGTGGTCCCCGTCCCTGATGGTGTAACCGGAGGATGCAGGCAGAGGGCCTCAGATGGGTGCACAGGCTGGTGGCGGCAGAGAAATGCGACCTGTCCCACCCCCTTGCGATCGCCCCATCTCAAGGTGCAGAAAGGCCTGCAGGAGGGGAGAAAGGATGCGGGGAAGAGGGTAAGAAATCGGGAAACTCCAGGCTGATGAGGAATAAACGAGCCACGCATGGAGTCGGCTAACTGTTCCTTTCTCCTCTCGCCTGCATACTGTGAGTCTTTACTCCCCAAGTCCTTGGGGCACACGTCCTCCAGTAAAAATGCAGACCCCACTGGCTGGCATAACCAGTGTTCTTACAGGAGCCAGAGGCCAAGCCTGAGAATCCCAAATGGCACCGGGAACTCCCCGGGCCCACCTGCTCCACTTGCACCCGGAGCTAAATGAGTGGTTTTCCCAAACGTCCAGTGCTTTCCCCAGAAGCCTCTGCTGAAACTCCTACAATGTAAACACAAGAATCTGCGGTACCTGCTCCCCCTTAGCTTTCACTCACATAAAACACGGCCCGGAGCCAAGAGGCCCCGGCAACTGTAGTCCAAGGAGCTCCAGCAACAAGCCCCGGGGGAGGGCGCCCTGCTGCAGCCTTGCCCCAGGAGGAGTTGCTCGGCTCCACAGGGGCAGCTGACTCTTGACTCTTGTTACCTGGTTCTTCCGGGGAAAGTGGCACGCTGACCTCCGGCTCTGGAATGACTTCTGGGGGTGGTGGGGGTGGGGCCGGTGGAGCTTTGACAGGGGTTGTCGACTCTGGGGTCTCAAATGCTTCTTCAGAGTCAGAACTCCTAATGGAGAGAGAGGGGGAGACACACAAAGTTAGATGGGGGCCAGGGCTGCTGAGCCGCGAGTGACCTCCAGACCCACCGGCGGAACCAGGCTCGCTGCCCAATTAAACTGTTGGGGGGCATATGCACAAAAAATCATTCTGAAGCATGATCCCCAAGGGTGAATCTCATTCTTATCAGCTTTGTGCCCAAATGATATATATTCTTTAAACCCAGCTCTACGCGAAATAAGTATTTCTGGCCTTAGTGGCAAATCCAAACACAGTGGGAGCTTCCGATCAACTCCGACAGGTCATCTGGGGTCAGGGCAAACTGATGTCAGGGAGGTCCAGAGAGCACTTTTCGACGCCACGGTCCCGACACCCCGCAGGACCCCCATCCACGAACCTCAGTGGCATTCAGCCTCTCCCCACCCTGCCCTGCTCTCCCATGCTTGTCATCACTCATTACTATGCATTTATTCTCTCTAATCAAGTGAAATTTCTCCCTCCTCTACTGAGCTGAAAAAGGTCATGAGGGCAGCCGGGGGAATCCCAGCTTCCCCCAGCTGAAACCAGGAGGCAGTGAATAAACACCTGTTGAGTGAATGAGTGAATGAATAAAAGAATGAATGAATGTGAACTCCAGCAGCCAGTCAGCTGGAGGATGTGCCAGACCAAGACATAGAGCACAGCCTGCTGACCCCGACAGGGTGAAAATGGCCTTTGCTGGTCTGCGGGAAAGTCTGCTCTCAGGGAAGATTCTTCACTTAGAAAGATGGACCAAAAAATTCCAGCCTGGGGACACCCCACCTGGTAACGAGGGGAGGCCACTCACCAACTAAAGCTTTATCCTGGGCTCTAGAATACCCAGGGCAAGCAGCCCTTCTCCACCACCCTCTTTCTGCTGGGGACTCGATTTTAAGCCAGAAAGACGGAGGCCTCCCCAAATCAGAGCCAGACACGTATCCTCCGGCCGAGGGCAGCTAGCTCCTCACCCCCTGGAGAGGCCCAGGAGTGCCCGGTCCTGGCCCCGCCTCACTCTGAACAGGCCAGAGTGCAAGAAGCATCTCCTGGGCTGATCCTCATCCCCAAGGATCTTTTGAATAAACCAAAATGCCATTTATTCATTTGCAACAAGGCAGGTAATTATTGAGAGGGCAGATGCTTAGGACCGCTGCCGGCACGAGTGACCCGAGGGGCAATTCTGGGGGAAGATGCGTAACCGGGGTGATGCATCAGTGACTATGGAGCATCAAATACTCAGGCTGCCCAACTGCCACAAAGGTCAAAGGACAGTGACCTCAGCAGAGGTCAGCAACTTCTAAAGCCCATCTGCCGGCCTGCACAGAGACCAGGAACCAACCAATCCCTGTGTGGTCAGCCAGGACTGAAAAAGGGAGCCATTTGGTGAGTTCGACTTCAGGAAAATCTATGTCAATGCTGCTTTTACAACTTATTTGTTGGTGCCTCACTTTATCGGTGCCAAAGACCCCCCCCAAGGTCTCTGGCTCTTCCAACTAGCCACAAATCCCTCCAGGGACCCCAAAAGATGAACAAAAACATCAGAGCTGTTTTTGATGGGATCCCAAGAGCTGAAGCCTGCAAACTATCAAATTTCATGAGTAAAGGCTTAATTCATGCAAAACCAACAGGGGCCATACTAACTCACAGACAGACATTAACATTAAAGGGCTCAGCTTTTGTCTAGGGGGAGACTTTAAATCCATGCTTGGACAACGACAGACTCAAGCACCCGAAGTTTTGCAGATTCTGTTTACCAGAAAGAAAAACACAAGGATGTCATGCAACTGAGCATCAAAGAGGAACAAGAGTTTGGATCCGCCTGGTGGGCTCTGGGTGTCGCCCTGACCCCCGGTACTGCAGGCATCAGGGACAATGCCGACAAAAACACACGAAGCTAACTTCCCTTTAAAAAAAAAAAAAGTTTTTATCTATTTATTTTAGAGAGAAGGGATGGGAGAGAGAAAGAGAGGGAGAGAAACATTGATGTGAGAGAGAGACATCAATCAGCTGGTTACCTGGCTCACCATCCAGGCATGTGCCCTAACCAGGAATTGAACTGGCGACGTTTCAGTTTGCAAGACAACATCCAACCCACTGAACCACACCAGGCAGGGCTAACTTGCCTCTTTGCAGGGCTTCCTTGAAGGACCAGCAGACTGGAGTCCCCACTGCTGGTCACCGCCGTCCACATCCACCGAGCCCATTCCACTGGGGGCCACATCCTCCAGGAGGTAAAAGCCATCTCTGCTGAATTACCACCTCTGTCCCCCAGATTCCCCTCCTAGTTCCCTTGCTGGGATCTCTGGGCTCTAAACTTCTTCAAGATGTCACCAAAAAGTCAGCTGCACGGCTGCCATGGGCTCTTCCGGCGTCCAGCAGAGATCCAGAGAGAGAGACTCCTGCGGCTTCTGCATCCCTGGGCCCTGGTGAAGTGTGGCTTTGGAGCACAAAGGGCCCCTGCTCTTTCCCAGCAGCACAAGCAAGCGACAGGGAGGGCCGGATGCTCTTGGGTTCGAGCTGCTGAATTCCAATGAGGCCTCCCCGCTGCAGCTGCCCAGTCTGCACACCTGCTCCGAAGGGACCACCACTCAGCTCCGCCCTGCACGGAAGGGAGGCAGTGCATGGGGAGGGAGAGGGTGCCCCAAGTCCCTTTGCGGCTCCTTGCCTGTTTACTATGAACTGTTCATTCTGCATCAAAACACCATGGGCTACCATGGACCCCTGGAATGGCATTTGCTTCCAACGCAGCCCATGTTGTTTTCCGATTTCCACACCCTCTCCCAGGAGCGGAGAGCAAGTTAATTAGAGGAGGCGGATGGCAGCTTTTTAAATTAGCTCTTTCTTTCCCTCTTTGCTTTCCCAGTGGGCTCCACAAACATTTCCAAGAGCAGGGATTGCTGTGGTCCGCCCACAAAGAGCCTGCACATAAAAATAAAGCAGCATTTTACAGCCCCGATGCATAAAAGCAGTTCCCAGCGGCTGCTAGGTTTTCTCCCACCACAAAAAGCTAAAGTGCAAGAAAGGACTCTGTTAAGGCTCCGCACTTTCCAAATGAAAGAAAAGGAAATTAATTTGTGATGAAGCTGTATCGGAAAGAAAAATGTGCCACTTCGGTATGCTAAAATGTCTCTATAAATTACAGAAAAATATATTTACCAGGATATGGACACACTAAGTTCTCTGTATAAGTAAATATGCAAATAAAATGCATGTGTTATTTACACACACACAGAGTGTAAAGAGGTTTGCTCTTAAGGGCCAGTCGTGCAATACAGTGACTTCAATGCCCAGCATGAAAAGCACTGTAACAGTCATCACGTGTAAACCTTCTGTTGTGTGTCAGGCACTGGAGTGGGCCCACTTACACTCGTCTCTACAATCTTCCAGAACAGCCCACCTGCTGGGGAGCCTGCCTGCCTCACAGTCCACACAACCATGGCCAGAGAGGCCCGTTGCTTTGCCTGAGGCCATCGAGCCCGTAGGCAGGGCTCAGACCTAACACCGTCTGCCTCTGAGATCTGCACCCACTTCACAACATCAGTGGCTTCCAAATGTTTTTAGCAACAGGACTGTTTTCCCAAAGCCTCTCACTCCATTCATTCCATAAGCTCGGTTCACAGCCTGCTCCTATGAGAAAGCCCATCGCCAACAACAGCTAAGCAGCTTTGACCAACTTACAGACTTGCTGCAAAGGCTGGCAGCGTTCTCCCTGTTGACGCCCACCCAGGTTCCCAGGACACAGTCCTGACACAGACCTCAGAGTAATGCAAACAGCGCCTGTGTTATAGCAGCTTGGCCTCTGATCATGGGCTACGATGCTTTAACGAGGCAGATGGGGCAGGAGAGCCACCTGGCCGTGCAAAACCGAATGAGCCTACCAGCACGGGGCAGCGTGCCGGTGGTGGCCCCACCTCGCAGCAGGCCGTACGGACAGGGGGAGGTGGCGAAGTGTGACACCAGGGTGCACAGAGGCTGTGCAGCCCCCGTGGCCCAGGCTCCCCAGGTGTGTGCTAGTCGAGTTTTAAATATTTTCTCAACTGCTTGCTTGGACTTCAGAGACTCTCTATAGGGCTCTGAAATCCCAGCGAGCACAGTCTGAAAACCTCTGCCCCACGGGACGAGGAACGGGGGCCCTGTTAGGTGACACCCTGTGCCCAGACGGGGTACTTCATGGAAACTGTCCCCAGAACCCGTGGGCCTGTTAGCCTGTATTTGTGCTTTGGTCCATGTTTTACATCTATGAACTACAACAACAAAATAGTATGAGGTCAGCATCCACACACAGATACGTTATGGTATAATTAGTATGCTATATAATAAAGTTGGCATAGTGCAGTACAGTACAATATTAGAGTGTCATAAACTATATTAGTGTAATATAGTAAAGTTAAGGTAATATAATATACACACACAGACACACAAATGTATGTGTGGATGTGCATCTATAAGTAAAACATGGGTGTCTTTTAATAAAGAGATGCTATAAATATAGTTTGCTAGCATATCATTAAGTGGTTACATCTGCTCCAGTTTTACTGGAGACAATTCAAGGGCTTAAGAGTAAGAAATTTCAGAAACCATAGATTCTTCCACCTTTGAAGCAGGAAGAAAATTTAAAGATTGACTTTTTATTCCGATACGCTCCTCCAATCTTTTCACACAGGTGAGAAAACAGAGGCCAGAGAGCAGAAGTGACTTCCCAAGGTCACGGCCCCCACATGGGCACAGGACCGGGCCTGCCTTCTTTAAACACTGCCTCCAGGTAAGAGCCTAAGTTCTAAATACAGTGCCCCCCACTCTCCCTGGAAATCCCAAGGCACCTATACCTCAATGTTACCTGAGTATCAAGAAATATCTGTTCTTGCCCTGACCGGTGTGGCTCAGATGTGCGCTGCTATGCAAAGCGAAAGGTCACTGGTTTGATTCCCTGGTCAATGTTTCTCTCACACATTAGTGTTTCTCTACCTCCCTTCCCCTCTCTCTAAAAATAAATAA